CAGTTATCATAGTTATACTGGTTCTTCTGTTAAAGAGAGAGAGAGAGAGAGAGAGAGAGAGAGAGAGAGAGAGAGAGAGAGAGAGAGAGAGAGAGAGAGAGAGAGAGAGAGTACCTGTAGATATCGAGTGCCCTTGTGAAGGGGGTGGCGATATATAAGAGACAAGCCTCAAAAGCAGGGGCTTTATAGCTCTATTTCCTTGTCTGGTCCACTCCCTCATCAAAATGACACAGCTCACGAGTGTTTACAAAGATGTGGTATTTTGCCTTTTCTCAGGTGGTTGATCTCCTTAACGACTTGTACACCTGCTTCGATTCTATAATTGAAGAGTTCGACGTGTACAAGGTGGAGACGATCGGGGATGCTTACATGGTTGTGAGTGGCCTGCCCATACGCAATGGAGACAGACATGCAGGTGACCTACCCCCCCCCCCCTTTCTCTTCCAATATATAACCCCCAAACCCCCGGCCTCACCCCCTCAAACAATAAGACAAAAAAGGAAAAATAAGCAAAAGCAAGCACCATCCTATCAAAATATAGAAGAGTAAAGAAGAGATAACTAAACAACAATCAGAAAAACAGACACAACAAAAAACGCAAAATCATGGAGAAAGCAAAATCAGTTAAAGAAGAAAGGGGGCTCTCGTGGCCTAGAGGTTAAGGTGTTCGCCTCTCATTCAAAGGTCCTGGGTTCGAATCCGGGTAGCGACGGAAACATTTTCTTCTCTAAAGTTGTCTTCTTTCACCTCTTTTCCTGCTCTCTAGCAATGTTCTATCGTCTGCTTTTGTCTCCACTTTCTGCCCCACCCCCTCATCTCCTTTACCCCTCCTGTAGGCTCCTGACTCTTTCTGCAGCTTTTCTACTGTTACTCCTTGGCTCCTTACTGCTGTGTTTCAGCCACACCCCTGGTCTTCTGGTAATAAAGATCTACATCTAGCCTTCTCGGACAAGGGCGAAAAATCTCGAAGGTCCCTTGTACAAGTTGCGCAGGTTAAAAATCTCTGGGTGGTTTAAAATCGATAAGAGTAGGCTTCGGCCGTCACCTGGGCAAAATTCAAAATTTCCTTCCAACTGAAAATGTTTAATGTGTCCCACGCACTCATATGACCTTATGCAGTTACGACCGCCGTAAAACACTTAGCAAAAAAAAAAAAAAAAGAAAAAAAAAAAGAAAAAGAAAGAAAAAGAAAGAAAAAGCAAACAAAAGCAAAGAATAGCAATCTTCCCAGCCCATGCTTCACCAACAAAGAATACCCCCTTTTTTCCAGCCATTTTTTCCTCCGCATTTACTTTATCTCGCACTCAAGTTAATCTTTTGCTTAGCGCTGCTTTGCTCAAAGTAGTTTTTAACAACACTTCCCCTGCAGCATTTTCTAATTCTCCTTCATTACGTTGGAGTTTTAAGGGGGGGGGGGGGGGGGGGGCTACACCTGGAGGCTATCTCGCTTATTACTGGACCGAATTTTACCACATTTCACACATATAACAAGCATAGTAAGGAGTCTTAAAATCCGCAATCAAATTTGAGAAAAAAGTTTCGTTTCCATGAAAATGCCACCATATTGGATTTTATTGACATGTCTTACGTAATGAATACCGCACTTATCGCTCATGGAAATTGATTGTTTTTTTGCATGCGTGTTCACAAACATTAGATCTAAAAATTTGTCTGTTGTTTTTTTCCTATTCGAATTAGAAAATTTTTAATGAATTTTTTCCTGAGGTAGCATTCAAGTTTGCGAAAAATCCGTGAAAATCCACACTCCAGACACCACCAACAAAAATCCATTCCATATATCAAAAATTCAATAGAGAAATTATTAGTATTACCTCTTCTCTTCATTCTGTGAAAATTTCATGAAGATTGGATGAAAAATGGTGGAGTTATTCAAAAAAGTATAGAGAAAAGTAGCGTTTTGAGGAAACGGCCGATGAAGAAAAATAAAATACTGACTTTATGAGGAAATGGCGGTTACAAACATGCCAGGTATGGGAAAAAATACGATTTTCGGGGGTTCTTATGCCATGAAATAGTTGTAGGAGAGGCTGAGGAAGCTAAAAATGCCTACAACTCAAATTCCATGATTTTGAGCCGATTTTTGATTTTGGGGGTGTAGCCCCCCCCCCTTTCCTTAACTTCTGTTTATGTACACTCTTAGGACATAGGTAATTAATCTTACACGCATGTATTTCAGGGGCAATAAGATGGATAGGCCCTACACTCATAAATATATTATGCATTCACACACTCGGTTTGAAGCATTCATCGTGGTCCTCGACATTTTAAAGCAGTTTTTTGTAATAAGGTGTCATGTTTCTTTTCGCAGGGGAGATTGCCTCAATGTCTCTGCTTCTCTTGGAAGGGATCAAATCTAAACGTTTCAAGATCAGAGGAACCAACGAAAACCTGCTCAAGATCAGAATTGGCATTCACTCAGGTAGCCCAGCGCCTCTCAACTCCTAGTCTCAGTTTCCATCCCATTGGTCAATTCTATCTTCATGTTGGTAAAAGTCAAAGGTCGAGTTGAGGTCTCTATTCCGAATTTGCTTGACTTGCTATACAAATTAAATTTGGGGGTCTCCACATACTGTGAGAGAGGTTGGGGGGGGGGGGGGTAGGTGGGGTTGGCACTAGCAATGACGTTATGTGCGATAGACGTTTTTAACCTGTTCAAGAAGGAGACATCAACTAGAACTTCACGTTCATTGTTTTCTCTCCTCTAATATGCATGCGTGCAGTCCTTGTGTGTATTTGAACGAGTGAGCTTTTAATGTGTTGTATTTTTATGTCCTCATCGACACAATTTAGATCATTTATGTCAGGACCAAGCCGGGCTGAGAGGGATACAGCACCCCGGCAGAGAGACCCGAGATTCTCGATAGAAATGTTCTCCCCACTCGGGAATCGCACTCGGGTGTCCTGCATGCGACAGCAAAGCGCTTAGCAGCTACTCCACAGACGCCGGTAACGAGTGGGGGAATTGAGATCCATAAAAAGAAAGAAATATGAGATAGAAATGTATACATGATATGATTATAATTATGAACACAAATACAGACAGAGAAAGAGAGGAATGAAAAGAGAGAGAGAAAGGTAGAGAGAGAGAGAGAGAGAGAGAGAGAGAGAGAGAGAGAGAGAGAGAGAGAAAGAGAGAGAGAGAGAGAGAAAGAGAGAGAGAGGGAGATCGTCCTAAATTTAATTAAACTGAAAATTACTAACTTGTTGGACTTGTTTCGCCAACACACAATCGTCAATAAATGTATAATTACCCCCAGCTTTGGGTTTATAACAAATTCCATTTGAAGATCCCATTCAAAGCCGTGGTTTTTTCAGGTCCTTGCTGCGCTGGTGTGGTGGGCCTTAAAATGCCTCGCTATTGCCTCTTTGGTGACACCGTGAACACAGCAAACAGACTCGAGTCAACAGGAGAGGGTGAGTAGCATTGTTAAGATTATACACGGCTACTTTTAAATTTTATTGCATGATCGTACCTTCGTTTTTTTTTCTGATTCTCTTCAACATTTCTCTTTCTCTATTTGTCGCTCTCTCTCTCTCTCTCTCTCTCTCTCTCTCTCTCTCTCTCTCTCTCTCTCTCTCTCTCTCTCTCTCTCTCTCTACCTCTCTCTCTGTCTCTATCTCTATCTCTCTCTGTCTCTTTCTGTCTCTTTCTCCCGACTCTCTCTTCTTTCTCTATCTCTCTTTCTCTCTGTCTTTGTGTTTGCATTCGTGTGTGTTTGGAACGGGGGATGTTATTATGAGAGGGATGGATAATTAGATGTCAACTTGCCAATTTTCGCTAAAAGTTTTCATATTATACCTTTCGTGCTTTAATTGGATTCCTCTTAAATCAAGTCGTATTTCCTATTTTCCTCGCCAATTTATATTGAATTGCGTCAACAAAATCCAAACGAAATTATTCACAGTATATTATGGTCCCTAATACATTGAATACAATCTGCCTTTGTCAAATTCAAAACGACAGAACAAGACGTTATGTATGCTTTTTCCGATGTTTCATGGGTGTCTCTTTGCAGCCCTGAAGATTCACTGCAGTGCTGAATGCAAGAACATTCTTGACAAACTCGGTGGCTATAATTTGGAGGAAAGAGGGTACACTGAGATGAAGGTAGTTCATACATCTTGTAATCTTGTATGTGTGTGTGTGTGTGATTGTGTGTGTGTGTGTGTGTGTGTGTGTGTGTGTGTGTGTGTGTGTGTGTGTGTTTGTGTGTGTGTGTGCTGTGTGTGTGTGTGTGCAAATGTGTTGGGAGGGGGGTTTGCATGTATGTTTGAATGGACGTATTTATGCGTGAAATGACGCTGATGAGTATCAAACTGAAAAGGCAGAGGGTATGGAGTAAGAGTGTCGGAGTAAGAGAGACTCATAGACAGAGAGAGAGAGAGACAGAGACAGAGACAGAGAGAGACAAAGATAGATAGATAGATAGATAGATAGATAGATAGATAGATAGATAGATAGATAGATAGATAGATAGATAGATAGATGAGACCAACAGAGAGAGACACACACACAGAGACACACAGAGAGACAAAGACAGACAGATAGATAGATAGATGGATAGATAGATAGAGATAGATTCATAGATACATAGATAAAAAGAGAGAAAGAGAGAGAGAGAGAGAGAGAGAGAGAGAGAGAGAGAGAGAGAGAGAGAGAGGGAGAGAGAGAGAGAGAGAAAGAGAGAACAAGCGAGAGAGAGCATATTCGATTAAACGTTATTTTTCTTACCCCCTTTTTTGTACTATTTTTGTGTAGGGTAAAGGCAGCCTCCTGACCTACTTCTTACACAGCGAGGACCAACAACACAGGTACAGACGGATCTCCCGCTATAAACGTATGGGCAGTGACACCCGTTGCGTGTCTGCCTCAAACCTCGACTACTCCGGGAAAATCTACAGCCTTAGCCAGTGCGGCCTAACTCCTCTACAGCAGCTACAACTTCAGCAACAGCACGCCAGTGGTAAGCACCAGATTCTTGCCCGGGACTCTGTGGGCAACGAGAGGAGTAGTGGGCAGAGTAACAGTTCAGTGATTAGTTCGTGCTCGGAGCCTGTAGAAATGCCCTCAGCTCAGATAAAACACACTCGAAACGCGCTTGTTAATCCTCAGCAGCCTTCGTCTCATCTCGTCCGACCTCAGTCAGACCAATACAAAGACCTGCCTCCTCTAACCATCCCTGACAACTCCGATACAGGCTCGGTTGGATTCTCGCCCCCTTCATCCCCAAACGATTTCTCCCCGTCCACCCTCCCTCGCGCCACAGCGCCCCGGTACAGAAACTCTTACATGTCGCCGATCGCCGAGGACCCGGGTGGTCATGGGGAGCTGAGTCCGCTAGAGAAGACCGTGTCTTTTCCGGACACCACGCTGCACGACTCGCTTTGCGAGACTGACGGACTCTTGACCAGCGAGCAGCAGGCCAACATTCACATGAACTGCATGCCTGCTCGTCGCAGTCTTAGCAGCCGGTCCGCTCTTGGTGGCCCACGCAGGGCGAAGACGGACTGGGGAGATGGTATTGGGGAAGAGGGTGAGGCAGAGGTTTTGATGTTTCCGGTGGAGATCGAGAACGGTATCAGCCCAGAAACTGTCTTGTGAAGTCACGAGAGAGATGTTGCTAGGAAACGGGAGGCGAGACCTTGTTGTTAACGGATGAGAGGTGGAAAATGTGCTACTGTAGAGACCAAAAGAAGAGAGATTGTTGTTTCTAGTCCACACGAGGAACTTCATGAAAATTCCATCATGTCTATTTCAATAATGAATGATACAAACTGTTTTGTTTTACAAATGTGTATATAGGTATATAAGCGTTAAGAGAATATTGTCTGATTACTTACCTGATATTTTATAAAATGATATGATTTCCATTAATCCGAACCTTTAAATAATCTGGTAACATCACTGAGTTAATCCGGAAATGCACTTTTCCCTTGTTGAGGAATCAGATTATGGGGGCGGATTGCTTCCTTGAAGGGCGTGCCAAACATGAGATGTCTTTTCTTACCCGTCCTGATGGAGCACGAGGTACATTACGCTGTACACTTTATGGCGTTGGATTCCATCCGAAGAATAACTGGATTGGTTACCGTCACGTTTAACTGATCAGCAAAAGAAAGTCATACCAGTATTGTACACTCTTCCCACCCATGGCTCATGCACAGTTCACTTTATTATGCCCACAGATTGTTCACAGATTTATCAGATAGTTAGATTACACATGGTAATTATTATTATCGTGGATTAGCATTCTTTTACTTTGTTTTGTGTGAAATCCAATTTCAGCTTGGGTCTGAGTTTTTTCGTCCGCTGCTGTAACATTGTTGGGCATAGCTTGACCAAAGTCAAAATAAATTTTTTTTTGTTCTGCCAATTTCTTCCTAGTGTACTGAAAGAGGTCCAAGTGCTGTGGGTAAGAAATTGCCCACTTTTGAATCTATTGCAATATGATTACTATTAAAATTGACTTTTTGGGGGGTTTATTTTTGTATTTCTTTCTCAGTGTTTAAAAAGAGGGTTTTAAAATGTTGAATTTCCTTTGGTTTAACACTTTCATGAAATCATTTGTCTTCTGGCTGATAGATACCAGAAGTTTGTCGTCGACCAAGACACTCATTTGCTCCAATTTGAGGGAGTTCAACGGCCTTCACAGGGCTTTGTGGTTTGCTCTTTAGGCCTGGCTTAATTGAGATGACGTTCACGAATCGTGTTAAGCAATATCGATGATACAGGTTTTTGATGGGTTATTACTTGGATGGGTACGTGAGCATAACTCGATAACCTTTGCTCAAAGACAGGGTGCTGTTTCGCAGCGACCAGAAATGACATGCTTTTGATATTATGTTTTTTGATGCTTTTTAAATCATTGTTATGCATGCCTTTGTACAACAAACTTCCCTTCTGGGATCAATTGCCTTTTCTTTTTTTTTTTTCCAAACCATCTTCTTCTACCTATCCCCTGCCCATTCTCGCGTCTTTCTTTCTCCCCGTCTCTCTCTGTCTCTCTGTTTTCTCTCTCCCCCCCCTCTCTCTCTCTCTCTCTCTCTGTCTCGTTGTCTTTCTCTTTCTCTTTCATTCCTTCTTCCACATGCCTGTGGCCACTGTAGTGACGGAGGCAAGAGAACACTACAGTGTGTCTTACTACGGGTTTGATAACTTTACTGCCGGCGCCAAAAGTCGATTTTTCTGAAACCTAATTGTTATTGTTATAATAAACTGGTTTGTAAGCTAAGTATAATGTTGTTGTACATGTCCCCAACATTATTATTATGCTTTCAGCACGATCACTTCTCACACCATGTATTGTTATGAGAGTGGATGAAGTGTCATACTGTCCTGTTTGTGCGTAAGCTAATGAAGAGCGAAAGAGAGAGAGAGAGAGAGAGAGAGAGAGAGAGAGAGAGAGAGAGAGAGAGAGAGAGAGAGAGAGAGAGAGAGAAAGAAAGAGAGAGAGAGAGAGGGAGAGAGAGAGAGAAACAGACAGACAGATAAACAGAGAGAGATAGAGAAAGAGAGAGAGAGAGAGAGAGAGAGAGAGAGAGAGAGAGATAGAGAGTGTGTGTGTATGTGTGTGTGTGTGTGTGTGTGTGTGTTATTGTGTGTGTGTGTGTGTGTGTGTGTGTGTGTGTGTGTGTGTGTGTGTGTGTGTGTGTGTGTGTGTGTGTGTGAGAGAGAGAGAGAGAGAGAGAGAGAGAGAGAGAGAGAAACAAAGATGTAAACCACTGACAAGGGATGGAGAAAACCTCAATTTATTGAACAGGCTATTGTTGCTTTTGAGATAACGTACTTGAAATCAAAAGTAGCGAGCCACGATTGAACAGTGTTTATTACGACAGTTTCAGGATACAGGGCTAGGTAAATAATTCTATAACAATGTTCATTCCCTATTGACGACTATTTCAGCGAGTATAGAATTAAATGGCAGTGTCCCGATCCCCTCTTTAACCCTGTTAACCTTTTCTGTCCTTTAGTGCACGGTTTGTTTTGCTGCTTGTCTACACTTTATAATGTGAGCGGTGTTTCACTGACTGACTGTTACTTCGAGGTATTCTGATAGCACAGGCATTGCTCAAGTAGTTGTTTACTTTTGTTGTCGTCTAATGCGTGTGTACATTTCATCTGAGCTATTTTAGAATTTTACTGTTCAATTTCAGTAAGATTTATGGCAAACTGCAGATATGAAATGGATCTGGCAAACATGGGAAGTAGTGATTTTTTGCTCAAACACGTTCAAAGTCTAGCGTAATGTTTTGTTTTTTTAAAGATAGAATTGCCTTCTATCTTACGCCACATAGGGCCTACAATTTACCGACATTATGTCTTTCGTAAGTGGAAAAGCGCTCTGTGACTTCATTCAGCACAAACGTTCATTAAAAAAAAACACCCTACATTTTCTCAGTGCCAATTTCAGCTCCGTTTGGGTACCTCTCTTGCTCATCGAATCTATCCACATTCATTGTCCAGAAACTGCATTGTCTTGATTGTCAAGACATCACGGCGCTGCTTATGGCTTAGACACCAAATTATTAAAAAAATGGACACATTTTATCTAGATTTTTAATTTTTTAAAAAAGGGAAGCAGATTCAAACACAGTCGAAGCTGCCATGACGGCCGCCTGTATAATACGGTCAACTGTGCAAATGGCCACTCCCCCCCCCACTTTGCGCCTTTTCTCTAATATTATTTAATTGTGTAAAACGGTCACCTGTCCAACGCGCCGCGGTCAACTTATTTTACCAACCCTCAGTCAAATTTACCTGGCTTAGACAGCCAGGCGTGGTCTCGCACCGCCCGATGCTTTGTCATAAATTTTGAATCGGCCCCTGACGCTGTGAACGAACAGGCTGTCATAATCGATTCACCTGTCGTTATTAGTCCTTCCAATGAATGTTCCCCCAACTGACCAATGAGTAACAACAAATGTTCAACTGCTGGTGAGGAAAGCGTGTGATCCGTCATAATCTATAATAAGCCCGCCCACAACTCATACACAAATCGTATATTCGTGACTGGTCACTGTTATGTTTACATAATCTGTAACCCCTTGCGACAGAAGCGTCGTTTGTTCTCCGAGTGGTTGCGACCCAGTGTTTGTTTCACCATGGCACTCGGTCTTCACCGTCTTGCATTCGTTTATTTTACCCTTGGATAAAATCAGCACAACAAAACTAACAAAATATAACTAAATAAAAAGATAGACAAAACAACAACAATGTCCGTTCTTACATCCATCCACCTCCTTTTTCAAAAGAAGACAAAAACCCTTTTGAATTCGCCTTACGGCAGTCCTAAGCCTGAGATCAGCCAGGGTTTGGACCTCAAATGGGAAGGATTGGCTTTTTCATTTTGATCTGTCCTGCCTAAGACGGCCACCTGTGTTATACGCCCCCTTTCCCCTTGACAATGTGCGTTCGTTTCACACAGGTTCGACTGTATATTATAAAGAGCTTGCAATGTATACGAGTTGTTTCGTTTGAGCTTGGGTATGCGAATAAATTGTTTTGTAAATACTAGAGATAAAATAGTCAGCTCACAAAGTAATGCCATGGCTAAATTTTGAATTTACGGGTGGATCGTAAACCTCTAATACTCAAATATAATAATATATATATAATGATATGGGCTTGATATTTTGGACGTGCCAAATGTTGAGGTTGGATACAAAATTAGATCTTGCAAGATATTTGTCCCGTACTTCTGCATGATAATATAATTATTTGTTTTTTAAGCCTTTATTCAGATAAACAATTCTAGCTGTTTTAATATGTTTTACAATAACTGCTATTGTCTAAAACGAGCAATGATAAAACGATTTTGGTATATGATAGGCTCCTTTTGTATTAGCGAGTCACGTGGGTAATTCTATTGGGAGAAAAGAATTTTTATGTGGTTACAATTGACGTTTTTCTATGTTCCCTCGTCGTCATCATACTTCCTCCATGCCATTCCATCAACTTTTACAGAATCGTTTATTTATTTCTCCTTTTTGTATTTACTGTTTTCATCACAATAATCCTGCCCATACTTCAAAACCAGACATAATTTTATACCTTTTCATTTTTCTAATTTACTGTACCAGTTTACATCTAGATGAGTCACTGGGTTTTGCACTAGTGACTAAGGCCTGCAAAGATTTCCGTCTTCACAAAGAGCCTTTGCATTTTATGGAGGGCCTATATCTACTTTTGTTATATGACTGCAGTTGGTAGGTTATACTAGCCGGTGTACACTTAGATTTAAATGAATCCCGTCAGGGTCCACGTGATCTGCAAGATATATCATTATCCTAAATGACAGCAACTGAGGCACGATTCGATTTGGTAAAGATGTTTGTTTCTCCGTGTCACAGTAGGATCAGAATTGCGACAACGTCTAACGAGAAGCCGACTTTATGAAGGTCCGACTCTGATACGTGTTGAGGAGGGTCTTACGGAAAATGTCATGTCAGTCTGGTTGAAGCAATTGATAAGAGGACATGTTTAACACGTGTGCACTTCCTAAATGATTTGATGAATGTAGAACTAATGTTTGAGGCCCTCATCGTAATAATTCAGATCATTTAGGGCGTTGACTACTTAGACTGTTTTTGTCATGAACAGTCGCAGTCAAGAGAAATATAGAATCCCTGGCAGAGGTGCTCGGTAAAATCCTGCCCATATGAGAAAGGAATAAACGTTTTAACTAAGTGTAAGGGCAAAGAGACCAGCTGTGACACTATAGAGGCCGATATGCACACGGGTGCGACCGTCTTTCCAATCTGAGCCGATTCTGCAGACCTGGCATGTTGGATGACTATTCAATCTATGCTCCGGATGTCGCCGATAGACCCTTATTGTGGCATCGAAAATGAAGTTTTACATCAACCTATTTTTTTAAACCCCGCCAAGAACGGAGAGGTTGGTGGGCACCCTGGTATGGTCCTGTTCCTTAATTCTTTCTTTGTTTTTCCGTGATTATCCTATCCGTCAACCTTCTAGTACACGACTACTTCTTCCTGTAACTCAACAATAAAAAAAAAAATAAAAAAAATAAACCAAAAACAAATTTGTTTCACCTATAAAAATGTATCCACGAAACGTGCTGTCGTCATGGACTAAGTAATAAATTAATAGGCTTTGCAAAACTGCCATAAAATGTATATTATTATTATAATGATCACAGCGTTATTATGAAGGCTTCAAACAGGGGATATCCTTGTATATTTTTATGAATGTATTTCCTATATTATGTCTTAATGTTTTCAACTTCTGTGATATGCCTGAGACAACTGCTCTGTATTGTACCCTCGCTCACACCGACACGTTCCTGCACAAGTAACAAGGAATTTGTGTTTGCAATAAAAATGACGATTTTTGTATATATATACATGCAACTTAAGTATTTTTTTTAAATTTCTGAATAAGGGCATAACTTATAGGTTTAGTTCCTTTTGTTTAAACTTTTGTTGATTTCTGTTTTAACCTACACTAAGTGTTCATGAACCTACAATTTGGACAAAAGTTTTCTGTATGAGCTTGCTTGTGTGTCCATCCCTCTGCTATTCTGTCCAGGTTTTCTTCTGATACAGCTTATTTTCTATTTTCTTCAGCCTGCCATACTGTAGAACTAGCCGCATCTAGAAAGTCTTTTCTACGATTGGTCGATGGGTGTTCTCGTTTGATTTAATGTAGCTCTTCTACTGCTCCATCGCTGTGCTACTGTATTCTTGACCTCATGTTTGTATATTCGTTTGTTTGTTTGTTTGTTTGTTTGTGTATGCGGGTGGGTATTTGTGTGTATGTGTGTTTGTATGTATGTGTGTGCGTGCGCGTTTGTGTGATTGTGCATGAATGTGTGTGTCTGTGTGTCTGTGTGGGTGTGTGTGTGTGTGAGTGTGTGTGTGTGCTTATGCGTGTAGTTCGAGGGCGCCACTGATAGGTCCTACTTCTTTACTTTCCCTCTGCTGTTTCTGTCTCTCTTTCTCACTTTTCCCAGCACTTAAAGACAATTATTGTGTCTATCTGCTTCTCTTTGCTCAGAGAAAACAAAACCAGAACAGCTTATGTGACTGTGTGCGTGTGTTTATGTGTGTGCACACGCGTACAACACACAGTTTTTCCTCAATAATAGACAAACAGCCAAATCGTCCCCTAAGGTACAGACTAGGCGAACGGCAGAAAGGTGGTCTGTGGTACTGGAGACCGTGAGGAAAGAAACTGAGAATAACTCGGTAAAAATGAGGCCTAAAAAGACATCAAACATAATGCACGTTCTTTACGTAACATTAGAATACGTCGTGTGAGTGTCTACTAGTCAAATATATCCTTGTCATGATTTTTACTTTGAGGCAAACTTTGCTGAGTAGGAGAATGAGGAAGAGGGAAGAAGGAAAGACACGAGGAAAATATACACAGAGAAAGGGGTGGGGTCTATCCTTCTTCTGCTCCTCGTAAAAAGTAGACAGCTATGATAATGAGTAGGACCTGTCAGAAAGCTATATATATATGGGGTCCTTGATTGATAGGTCTTGAGACAACGTCACATTAAACAAATCAAAGAAATGAAAATAGCAACTCTTGCTCAAAGTTAAATACTCTTCTTTTTTTTGTATAGGTTTTACGGCTGCATAAGGTCATATGAGCGCCAGAAGATTAGAGGTGTTACAAGAGAGTAACAAACATAAAAAAGAAGGAGGAGAGATAAGGACGATAGACGTTTCATAGGAAAGAAAAAGCCCACACCAGAGCACCCGCCAACCACCCACTCTCTTCGCTGGTGTAGTGAATTCAAGACTGTATTGACAGTATAGACTGGCATATAGGAGATCTGTCTGTCTTGAAGACTGGTCATCCGATTAATTTTATCCGAAACTGATAGTCTGCCAAATCCTACTGATATCTGTTCCCATGGCCATGTTAGTCTGTATGTGCCAAGGTCCTTGCTACAACACACCTTATATATATATATATTATTTCATGAAATTGCAGACTTCTGTCCGATTTTAAGTTTTCAGGGTACAATCTGAGAGGTCTGACATTATTTCTCTTCCCTTCTATTTTGCCTGCTGTTGAAATCTAAATCTTGATTCAAAGAGCCCTATAATGTACACATTTATCAGCTGTGGAGTACTGGGCTTATCTGTTTCACTGTAGATTATAAATGAGACAAGAAAAGAGTCAGAAAATGACAAATCATGAAGACCTCTTTGAGTTTCGTATTGTTGCGAGACAACCAGGCTGTAAGACATGTAGGTATACAAAGACACAAAGAGCACATATACATGGGCTGTTTATCGGTCAAAGGGCAGGTTGGACAAAAGATAAATAGGTATGTGGGGCAGGAGGTACACATTTAGAGCTTATATTCACACAAGCAGAACTCTCTTAAAACTACACGTATACACACAGTAAACAAAACAGAAAATGAATAGAACTTGGAAGACACAAAGTAAGAATTTTTCACATTTTAATACAGACATTCACAGACATTTTGGTCTGCACGATAGAAGGGCGAGATGCGCAAACAAATATGGCGTAAATCAAATTCTCACACAGTCACAAGGTGACAGCTCCTGTCATGGTCTAGCATCTGATGCTCTTGTTGTGTTGTTGCTTCTTTCTTATGACCCTTTATGTGGTCGTGCTGCTTAAGATTATTCAACGATTCATTTTTATTGTATAATAATTTGGTTGCTTATTTTTCTTTCAAAACTAGTTGACACAGATTGTGTGCCCAGGTGTATTGTGTACTATGGGGGTATTTTGTATCTGTACCTGTATGTCAATGCATGTTCGTACATGCCAAGTTGTGTGCGCGTGACAGCGCTTGCGTGTTTGTGTGTGAGTATGTCTGTTTTAGTTTTTTGTGTGTCTGTCATTTGTGCGTTACCAGAAACACAGGTGCATGAATAGTAAAAAAGAGAAAGTTAGGGAGTAGACAAAGAAACCCAGCAAAAAGTGATGAAGATAAAAAAGACTAGCGGCTTCAGACAATGAAACCCGGCATGGGGCTCATCACAGTAAAAGATGAACAAAACTATAAGCTCGAGGTAGACAGAAACGAGACAATAATCATGAGAAGGGAAGATCAGTTCTGCACAGACTAAGTGACTCCATCCAGCAGCTGCTTACAATTCACACAAAGTCCCGTGACCTGGCAGAACTGACCTTGGCTCGAGTCGAAGCTTGTTTACTTAACTCGAAGCCCAAATCAAATAAATAAATAAACAAAACAGTCCAGAAATATTGCACGTTAAAAATGCTGCAGTAAAGTCCATTGGCACATAAAACATCCCTGCCCTTCATGTGGGACAGAAACTTAAAAATTGTTACCACTTCTTTAAATCCCCAAATTCCGAGGCTCAGAAACAGTTAGCCAGTCTTAATTTCAACCTAAATGTATGCATATATATTATCTTTTTACTACTGTCAAAGTTTAAAAATATTCGTCTTGCAAAATAAAAATAAATAGCGGTTGCAGTTCGTCTGCACATCACCCCTCCCTGCGCTCACTACAAAGACCTGTACACTCAGCTAGTTTGGCGTATAGACAGATTAACATGTACAGCAGATTGAATAATATTTACACAAAATTACTGAAATTTAAAAATCTTAATCTCAAATTCAAATGTGAAGTTGAATCCAGAATAGGTAATGTTTTCGTTCAGGATAAGAAATTATGGCAAAAGTGAAAGTTAAATTTTGATACATTCATCAGAAAAAGTAAATTTCACATTATCAAATACCATCAGAACGAGGGAAGAAACTTTGTACGGACATGAGAAAATGTCTGGGTTTGTTTTATGTGCTGTCTGCTGTATTTCCGCCTCCAAGTCTATCCCGGTACGGAGAAGCAATGCCAGTTTGACCTCTCACTACTTACAGTCTTTGATATATTTATATGAACAGCTGTTAGCAAATGGTGATATAAAAGTTGGTACCGACCATCAGATGAACTGTCTGATTATCAAGCTGAAATCACAGCTGCATAATTGAACAAGTTTATCTGCAATATTAAGTCTGGCTTTCAATTTGTGAATTATACAATGTAAAACCAGCCTTTCCTAAATAGTTGCTATTATAAGGTTGCGATTCTTCAAGATTGTAAAATTGCATTGATAGTGCTTAAAGGCATAACGTATTAGCACATAAAATACAATGCTGCTGCCTTTTTGGATTGTGTAGTTGAGGTCAAATGACTTAGTTGATCTCCGTTCTTGATCAAAGTCCTGTGCGTTCTCTAGAGCTCCACTCACATTGCTAAACAGTTTTTGGGTCTCTCAGCTGCCCTGAGGGGGAAACAGCCGGAGCAGTTCCTATCTACTTTGCTTCCTCTGATAGCAGTAAGGCTCAGAGCATGATGGCGAGAGAACGATCAATTTCTATAACGATTGTTAAATATAAGGCGACGGTCAAAACGTGTGACCGATTAAAGATTCAATAATCCCATGTAAGCCACTTATTGAGAAAATCTAAAAGTTAAGATTCTGTGCCCTGTTCAAAAGTTGAGAAACAAATATTGAGCGAGGTGAGCACGGTATTGGACCGCTGGGGTATGTGCCCAAGAGAGAAACCATCATTCTGGGACCACCAGGCAAGCAAAGAAGTTGCCTGATTCTTCCCCCCTCCCATTTCCCAAAGTATTGAAGTGACCACAAAGTATTCTTAGCTCACGTAAAACAAGACACAGATTTTAGAATAGAAGAAACGATACAATATTTGCTACTGAGGTGCAGTCTCCAACTTAAATTGATTTAAATCTAAGGTTCTGTAAAACACTCTTTCCATGTAAAAAAAAAGAGAGGAAAGAAATTCAATTTTTGATGACATTATTGTTCTTAAATATTACCTGTTTCGTTCAAAACCAATTTTGTATTTTAAGCATTTCTTTTCTTTTCTTAGTTCATAGCCCAAATACGATAAAACGAATTGTAGTGAAATTGGAGAGAGCATAGACGACATGACAATCCTCACACACGCCAACAGACACATTGATGACAGACATACACAAAAAGCGCGAGCTGACAGACACATATGACACGTGGTGACGTGGCCGGGCTGGTCTGGGGACGCCACCCCGGGTTTGACCATTTAACTGACCAACTCAGCCACCAAACAGGATTCCGCAACGCTGAGTATTCCAACTCTCGGTTGACTGCAAAATTGCCATAGTAAAAACAATAAATATAACTTGTTTTTTTTCTGTATAACCTTGCTCATCACCTAGTATAGGAATATAACTTTCTAAACTCGAGAATGTCATGACTGTAAAAGAAACGTCTCTTTCGGAGACTTTTAAAGTTATCCGTGATAACTGTTTAAAAAATATTTTCGAAGGTTCTGTAACGTCTTCTCGAATTCAGATGTGCAATGATGGAATGTGCTGTCTCAAGGTTACTCTCCTCAGTCCTCTACTAATCCACTTGGCGCTGTAGTCAGGGGGCGATATTGGGGTCGCCCTAATACAGGAGAGGCAATTTCCTGGGTTGCCTCCCGTGGTCTGAATGGCGGGGCGTTGTCAATACTTCTGTACCCGCACAAACTGGTTGCGCCATCCGCACCTGCGACGCCTGGAGAAACCTCCTTGAGTGCTCACAGGTGCTGAGAATGTAAAATACAAAAAAAAAAAAATTAGTTAGTTAATTTCTTACTTAAGACAAGTTAACAACCCCCCCCCCCTCTTCCCCGCTCCCTTTCCTCCCCTACCACTCATTTTTACCCTTTGTCTTTCATTGACAAATAGTTTGCTACACTAACTATAGTGCGGTCAAAAATTCGTGGCGCAACTTATTGTCCAATATTTCCTAGACTATCGAACCTTGACTCTCCAGGTTTATTGGTAAGTGTTTTACGGCGCTCGCAGCAGCATAAGGTCATATGAGCGCGCGGGACACATTAAACTTTTTCAGTTGGTAGTAAATTTTGAATTTTGAATTAAGCCTACTTTTATCGATTTTAGACCACCAAGGGATCTTTAACGTGCGCAAGTTGCACATGGGCCCTCCGAGATGTTTCGCCCTTGTCCGAGAAGGCTAGGTGTAGATCTTTCCTACCATAAGATCAGGGGTGTGGCTGAAAAACTGCAGTAAGAAGAAGCCAAGGGGTAGCAGTAGAAAGGCTGCAGAAAGAGTCAGGAGCCCAGAGAAGGGGGCAAAGGAGGTGACAGTGACAGGGTGGGTGAAGAAAGAGGAAATGAAAGCAGACGAAAGAACATTGCTAGAGAGCAGGAAAGGAGGCGACAGGAGACGATTTTAGAGAAGAACATTTTTCGGTCGCTCCCCGGATTCGAACCCCGGACCTTTGAATGAGAGGCCAACACCTTAACCTCTAGGCCACGATAGCCCCCCACCCCTCTCCAGTTTTTTGCACAACGACTTGTATCAATTGGTCTTAACGAATCAATATTTTCTAAATACCTGTTAGCTGTATTCTTGAATTTAAAAAAATAAATAAATACTAATAAAAAATCAAAGTGAGTGGTTTTTACAGATTAACAATTTTTACAGCTGGGGCAATAATTTTGCTTTTAAAAGGAAGTCCGTCATTTTTTTTTCTAATCGTGACACTATTTTTGTTAATTGAACGTGAGTTTTGCGAACATTTAGATAAAAAATGTGTTCACTCTCAAATTAATTTCTTGTAACAAGTTTGGCCACTAAAAAGTGTCATTGGTGGGCTGTGACGTAGACCTCATGCGTGTACAACATATGTGCGAGAAGGGGGAATTGCTGTGAACAATCCTATTTTCTGCGTGACGGAGATTTATAGTGCTTGTATTTTATATACATTTTTATGATGGAAAGTAAAAAAAAAATCTAGCGTCAACTTTTGTGGAAAAATATTATTAAGCTAAGATAAATTGACACAGAATGCTGCCCAAAGTATGGATCACATTGATTCACCCGTTCCCGTTGAAGAGATATTTGAGGATAAGTTGCGCCACGGATTTTTAACCGCACTATAAGTTGCTATTTCCTTTCCCTCTCTCATGTTATCCAACACAATACACATACGTTGGAAACCAAACTATAAATATGTACATCGATTCTCCTACATTGAGGAAATTAATTCAGGGTGAACTATCCACACTCCTCCTTATTTCCCTCCCCCTCCCCCCTCCCCCCTCCCCCCCCCCCCCACACACACATTCGTCTCCCACTCTGTTCTTCGCATATTTCTCTTTTTTTTCGTGTGGTAAGATTTAGCAACTTATAATACCGTGTTATACATCCTCTTGTAACTAGACCTCGTTCGAGAGCCTGGCATGTAAACCTGTTCCTTACATGTGTGTATCCCATTTTGTCCGTCTTCCACTTTCTGAGCACATACACTTACAGTAACGAAGGCAGACCCAGTAATAGTTTCAATAAGAGCATTAGTAAGAGCTACACGGCACCCTGCAACATAAATATGCCATACAAGTGTCGACATATAGAGGTGTTACTGGAGAGTAAACTAGAAATAAAGGAAAGAGGACGACAGATGTTGTGTGGGAAAAAAGGAGCAAACACATCAGAATACCCACCAACTACCTACACCGAATGCTACGACACATATACTTAAACCAAACATCTTTGGATAGGTTTTTATTTCTGTTCTTGACGTTTAAAGCTCATTCCGATGTAGCCGTCTGCTTCGTTGTGTACTGAATTCCAAGCCTCCGGCCACTTTTCTACTTGTTGATTGGGTTGAGCAACCGTCTTGAAGGAAAAATCAAGACGAGCAGATAAACAAAAAGAAAAGAGGGAGAGTAAAAAAATATAACCTACCAGCGGCGTTTAACATTCACCCGCTGGGTAAACAAAAACTAAAAATATTAGTTTTTTAAATTCTTAAATAGACAAAGACAAACTCATATTACCGACGAATTAAAAAACCCAGCAACAAATCAGACGGATAAATAGCTTCCAAGCCAATAAATAAACAGGTGAAGCAAACAGGCCATTTCACATGTAGATTTAGGGAACTGGGATTAATATAATCACAGAAGGTTGTACGAGCATAAATAAATGAAGGAACAATAGATGTAGTGGTTTGTTGGACTCCTAACCAGGAGCTAGATAGATCTTGACAGACAAATCTGGTGTGTGTGAGTGAGGGTGTGGTCTAGAGCTGGGGTCACCAATCGTGTGGCTCGCAGGGTCAATTAGTCTGGCCCACCGCCATGCCACCAGGCAATTAATCCCCCCCCCAAAAAAACCCCACAAAAAACAACAACAACAAAAAAACTCCCCCCAAAAAACAACACACACAAAAAAATCAAAAACAAAGAAAACAAAACACAAAAAAACCACCAAAAAAAACATTGGAGGATGTGTTTACAGCGTGCTCAGGACTTGGTGGCCACAATAACTTGATTACTTCATTGAACAGTATTGTGCAAATTAAAAAACTAACATGCTTTTATAGACTTTATGACTTCTAACTAATATTTCGTAAGTATTTAATGCATTTGCATTGTATTGAACAAGCTATTCGGCCTGAGAAAGCATTCCCTCAGTTATCCAGCCCACTTTGAAAAAGTTGGGTGACCCCTGGTCTAGAGGTAATTAGTTTGGGTCTTGTGATAAACATTCTGCTCAGGTGCCCGGTTTGAGCAGGGATGATCACTGGAGAACTTCAGTTTAGTTTTTTCTTCCCCTCTATGGTTTCAGACACGCCATCACAGGGTCATTTTCGAAAAGGGCGACACGCAGCAATGAGAGGTCCGATCAGCAGGTTGGCTCAATAATTGGTAGCTGAAAGTGGAAGCAAATCAGGCCCTCGGAACCTTTAACATTAATCCAGAGAGAAAGTTTTATAAATATATGAGTATTCACGTCATTCATTGGGGCAACATTCAAAAGTGGGTCCAAGGACAAATAGTTGTTGAACAGACAAACATAAAAACAGACATGAATACAGACAGACAGACAGACAGACAGACAGACAGACAGACAGACAGACAGACATACAGAAAGACAGACAGACAGACAGACAGACAGACAGACAGACAGACAGACAGACAGGCAGGCAGGCAGGCAGGCAAACAGACAGACAGACAGACAGGCAGACTGACATAGACAGGCAGAGAGAGTAAACATCAAAAGAAGAGGGAAACAGCTTTGTTATTTGTTTGAAGTATAAGGGCAGGGAGAGGGGGGGGTAAGAGGGAGATAGCTAGAGAGAGAGAGAGAGAGAGAGAGAGAGAGAGAGAGAGAGAGAGAGAGAGAGAGAAGAGAGAAAGAGGGAGAGAGAGAGAGAGAAAGAAAGAGAGAGAGACATAAAGAGAGAGAGAAAGACAAAGAGAAAGAGAGAGAGAGAGAGAGAGAGAGAGAGAGAGAGAGAGAGAGAGAGAGAGAGAGAGAGAGAGAGAGAGAGAGAGAGAGAGAGAGAGAGAGAGAGAGAGAAGGAATGACATTGTAGCTGATGAGTTGATAGTATAAGCTTCCAAAAGACGACATTTCCTTGCCAACATCCCCCACGGCGCTGGCCAACAAATGGCAAACGTTGCTGCTACTCAGGCACTGCTTCGTTTGCCCAACTTTTGTTTTCTCGGTGCAAAGGGAGGGAACATGGCCTGGGAAGAACGCAGCTGTGCCGACAAGATAAACAAGGTTGTCCCCCCCCCCTGCCAGACAGACAGGTTTTGTTTGGCAGACGGTCCAGCCTAGAGGTTCGCGCCTTACCTGCGATGACGTTGACTTCCGCTTGGTCCCAGCCACGTTGTGTTCACCTGAGAAAGAGTTAAATGTAGCGTATAAATGGAAGAATAAAAAAAAATCGTAGTGGCGAATACTTTAAGAGTAATAAAAGTGAACGCTAGCATAAAATATATACATTTTCATTAAAAACGAAATTACGCTTAGATTTTACAAAACAAGTTTTGTTCCCGTCTATAGGTTTTGAGTCGGGAAAGAGAGTTTAAGAAAATATCGCCAGTATTAAATGTCAAGTAAACGTTTTCAGGCTGTTACACCAGCTCACAAAACTGTCAGCAGTTAGAGCTACAAAAACAGAAACAAAAAGAATTCTCCACAATGACTGCAAAAAAACAACAACAACCCCACAACAAAAACAAGTACAACTTCCATAATGACAATAAAGCAACAAAATCTAACAATGGTAACTTCATCTCTATCATCATCAACAAACATGATCTAATAACTTGCAATAGCATAAGTAACTGCAGCATCACGAACAACAATTATTATAAACCATATAAAAACGGCATGGAGGAGGAAATATTAAGACCTGTCGTTGGTTTGTCAAAACTTAATTTCGTACTTACTTCGAAACTTTGAAAAATCTCTTGGATTTCTGTAACCAGCTGGAGTCGAGAAATCGCCGAGATTTTTTCTTTTCCTCGGCGCCTGGCGATCCCGGAACCATTTCCCCCTCAGAGCCGGAAGACACCGGTCTTCCCGCGCTAGATCCGGTGCCTGCCTGAGGCGATGCAGCAGACGACGTGCTGGCCACAGATGACGTAGATGGCATCTCTATAGGCGATGGTGACGCCGCTGCTGCGGCTGCTGCTGCTGCTGCTTCTGCTTCTGCTTTTACGCTTTCACTTGGGTCCCAACTGCGAGGTTTCCGAGATTTCTGTGCAGCTTCTTCTTCTTCTTCCGGGGATCTCTGCGCATACAGCGAGACTCCGAGGTCGAAGGATATAGACTGTTTGCACAGAACCCCGACAGTCCCCATCTTGCCTCTGCCCGCCCCGCTACGTCGTTCGGGGGATAGAGATGAAGAAGGCAGTCTGCCCGATTCTCCCTTCTTCCCTCTGCCTGACTTTCCACCTTTTTTCTCTTTGCTCTTCGCTCGCTTACTCGCAGCTGCTTGCTCTTCCCCTGCGACTTCTCTTGGTGGTTTTCCTGTCACGGGCTCCGCGGTGCAGTAAGTAGCGGCGCGGCCCCTGGCGGCCACTTCAGCCGCTGTGATGGCAGGTGGGGATCCTGGCGCTACCACGAGGGTGGGCAAAGACTGGTGGTTGGTGGGGGCGAATCTAACCTCAGGTCTACAAGGACTCTCGTCGTCCGACGCTACTGAGAGGGTTGATACAATCTGATAAGATGCCTCAGATGTAGGTGAAGTATCTGACGACATCACCATGGCAACTTCGCATGATTTTCGCTGTTGAGCTTTTGAGACCGAAGCTGTGGACGGCCTGTCTGGATGTCGATCGATGTCCGTATCCGATAAAGTTCGCTCTGGAGAAGCTTTAGTCTTCTGCCCATCAAAGGCCTGGGTTAATTTTTTAACCTGTCCTCCATTAGTAAGATCTTTGAAAGGAGCCGTTGGGCTTTTTGGAGCTTCTGTGCTGCTGGTGGAAGATAACTGACGCACTATGTTTGTCACAAACTCTGACTGAGTCCGCGGTGAGTCAGTTCTTTGGAGCGAAAGATCTGAGTTGGTCTTGGACGATGCGCCACTTCTGACTGGTGTTGTTTCGCGAGATAAGCGCTGGACAATGGCATGCACATAGGTGCCTGAAACATTCTCCTTGTTAAAGGCCGTCTGAGCTTGGCCTGGTCTGGCTCGCTCTTCTTTGGGGAGATACCGCTGAAGGATGCGAGTGGCATAAATAGAGTGCCCACTCCTGTAGCGCTGGCTTTCTTCAAGCAGCTCGGCTGCGGGTTTGAGCCTCCGGACTCGAGCGACGAGCCCGACACGCGGGAGGTGTAAAGTTGGGCTGGGTGTTTTGCGCAATTCGATCGGTCGGTCCTCGGTTTCACAGACTGTAGCCCGCTTTTCGAATTTGTTTATGGCGTCTTGTAATGGTTTGACACTAGGCGAATCGGGTGCGGAGGGTGCAGATGGTTCCATATCTCCTACACTCTTAGAGCGTGGGCCTTTCTCAGCAGCAGGAGAGGCAGATGGGGACTGACGTACCGGCGTTGACTGCCGGGGGAGTGGTGGTTTACCTCTTGCCGCTACGGGACTGCCTTTAGGGGAAATGGCTCGGTATTCTTTCAGCTTGGTGTCTCTCTCTTCGCGTTGTCTTCGCAAAAGCTTCTGTTTGCTTACGGGGCTACGGGGCGATTTAGAGCCCGCTCTACTGGGGTCACTGGTCGGGGGTAGATCACGTCTGGTAGTATCGGCTATCGGGGGCAGGTGGCTGGTGGGTGCCCCTGCCGGCCCGAGCTCGGGGTCACGGGTTAGTTGAGCGGACTGAGCGTCACTCGGGCTCTCTGTACACTTCATCACAGACTCTGCTGGGGAATAGTCATCGTCCATAATCGACACAGCTTTCACGAGTCTGGGTTTGTCCAGACTCCGCTGTTTTGGAATGGTCGGTACGGGGGTCTCTGTGGTGCTGCCATGCCGGGGGTCCCTCCCAGGGGAAGGGACTGGAGAAGGACCCTCTCCATCTTTCTTCTTCAAAGTGGGAGACCCCCTTTCCACTTTGCTTTTCGCCCTCTTCAGCTCCTCGATCTCTCTGTACAGAGGGGCCGAGTCACAGAAGGTAACAATCTCGGTTTTCGTGGTTGACGGCTTTAGGGGCAGAGCTTCTTTGCTGGCTCCGCCCACAACAGACTCTGGCTTGCCGCCTTGTGTTGAAGAGTCTGGCTTTTGTTGCAAGTCTTTGGGTTCTGAAACACCCTCTGGTGTGGTTGGTGTGGTAGGTGTGGTCGCAAGAGGCGATGGAACGGCTGATGACAATGGAGAGGGTGACGGTGAAGGTGACGGTGAAGGGGAAGGCGATACGGATGACGCCTCCGCCGAGGACAGTCTCGTGGGTTTTGTCGGCGCCGACGGCGGCAGCTGTAACGTGGACTGGCCTTCCAGTCTCGGCCGTGGCTCCGACTGACGAGATGGATGAGATTTCTGGTCTGGCTGTTGAAACGCTTCCCTCTCTCGCCTTGCTAAAGATGGGGTCAACAAGTGCGTCTCTACGTGGTCGGTGGATCGCTCACGTGACGCGGCCGTGCTGGAATGTGGTTGGCTGCTGGTCGGAGTGCTGACTGCACCGCCTGACGCCGCAAAAGCTGAGGGCGAGGCGGGGGCAGAGAGGGAGGAGCTGGCGGCGGAAGCGAGGATCACATCCTCTGTGACAGAGAAAGAGAGGAAACGAAACCCAGATGTAGCATAATATAACACGCGGATGTTAACACTTTATTCTACAAAAAGTCACCTTTCATTAAACTAACTAACTGTCTGTGCAAAGTACACGTATATTTCACAACTTATTTTCTTAAATGGCCAAAGGCAACATTCCTACAAGCTTCTTGAAACAACCATTTCAGTTTTAAACAGCTATGTGGCTTTTGAGACAAAATGTAGAAGGAAAGAAATGAAAAGTCATAGTTTTTGCGTATGCGACTTAGTTTGGAGTTGAAAAGAAACACACGACGGAAAAAGGACCATACCACAGATTTCCAATATCCAGTTATGGAGAAAGAGGAATCTGAGAGAGTCAAATTGCAAGATACAACAAACGTTTGAGATACACTGGCAACATTCACTATTTCGCAGACGTCTGGACAACAAAAAGATTGTCCTTCTGATGGGAAAAGAAGAAATTCTGTTGAGATGTTCAAATTCTCTGTCAGGCATGGCTGTTAGAAAATATAATAGACAATTGTGAAAGGAAACCACCACACAAAATTTAGACTAGATACTGCAGATGGATATCAGATCCCAGGTGAGAAAGGAAAGTGAAAAAAGAAAAACAGTTTAAGAAAAGACAGGAAGGTAAATATCTGGCAAAACTAACACACCAGTCTGTTTTCCCAGGTCTCTCGGAGATGCAAAGAAAACTTAGTAACTGAACACTTTGCGTACTCTGGCAACATGCTCAAAACAAAAAAAAATTATGAGAACACAGGCGTGATGAAGAAAGAGCTGACCAGACATTCATATACTTACATCTACTTTCCTTTAGGCAAGCATGAAAAAGGATAATTATTTCGCATTGTAACAATTTGTGTCTCCTTATATTCAGGACATTCGTACAGCAAGCTATTGGACACTTTACAGGATGAACTTTATAAAATGTGAAAAAGGCAGTTATACACAAAAGCAAATCTAAGATCCCGAAAGACTGCTCAACTAATTGTGGTCTATTCATGCTTATATTATTTTTTATTGTTCCTGAAAAGTACTGTCCCATTAAGATGAAGAATAGCATCCTTTAATACTTACGCTCTTTAAACAAATTACAAAGGATTTCTTAAGCTTTTCAAACAAAAGACAAGACCCCACAGCACAAGAAAATCGCAGCAAAGTATATTTCTAACGAAGTAGGCATATTTTCAAATAAACATTGCTGATCCCAAGTCACCACAAACACCACTGGTCTAAAAGGAAAGAAATATTCCCGTCCTCACTAATTTGTGTAAGAAAAATCTAACCGAGCAAGGTTCACCTCATACTGATGAATTAGACCGCAGCATGAGTTCAAAATCGTATGATCTTGATGAAGTGTCTTTTCAGTATACTACACGTTTGTTACAGCTCATTTCGCACTTTTAGATTAAGTTCTGATTAGTGTTCAACTACATGCCTTGCGTTCACCATCATTATAAGTTATGATGCACACACCAACAAAAAAGAGTCTGAGTTTGAACATTTTTCTCATAAAACAAACCTGGTGCCCGAGTTATGAAGTGGTTGACGTAATTGTCTAGGCAAGACTTTGAAGAAATCTTACTTTTCTTACCTGTAATTATACTTTTTAGATACAGAAAGCAAAGTCTGCAAACAACTGCACCTTATTCTCCGAAAGTTGACATCCCCAGGAGGAATTATTTACAACTCTCGATGGAACTTTGATGTCCCTTTTGATTATTTTCTTCAACATATCATTATTTCTCCTCAACGACCTTTTTTCTTATTCAATAATATCAAGTTAACAGAAAATAAAAAAACCGGGCTTCCATTTGCAGATCAAATTGCGGTAACTCTCCCGAAAACGGGCAACTTTTTTACCAGGGATATCAAGTTTGTTTGTAATAATTAATAAAATAAGGAAACCCAGCTCTATTAGCAGCATGAGATGAGAACTTTAAAAAAGTGAGAAAAAATATACCGACGGTCATTAAATTTTATACCTGATAAAACAAAGCTAGGACATAGTTTTGGGAGACAAGAGGGAGAGGTTAGATACCTGCTATATATGGAATGTTGGGGCGGGGCTCTCCGGTCTTCACCTTTGTCTCACGCGGCTTGGTGGATTTAGCCGCTGCTGACGCAATTTCCACCTGCAGTGATGAGCAAATGAGCGGGTGAGCAGGGTTGAGACGCGAAGTTCATACTTTACTTTTCTTATACCCCAGTTAGAGTAACTTACTTATAGGATGTTGGAGGGAAACTAATGGCTGTTGTCACAATGTGTGAGCTCTCTTGTCAAACCCTTCGGCCACATGATTACTATTTTCAATAATAGTTAAAGCACACTCCAAGCGTTATTTGAAATGTTAATCACATCACAAGGTATTTGCCCGTCTGTTTTATTTTTACTTTTTATTTGCCTTCCAGCGTTAGAGAACGGACAACTGGCCAAAGGGCACAACTACAAATTAAATATCTAATTGTGTAAATTAATTCATTTTCCCCACCAGAAGCTGCCCACTAAACGTACAATTGTTTAAACTAGACATAGTGATGATTTCTTATTCTTTCCAGATTCAATATTGAAGCTTTCATGACTACATTATTATACCATGCCAATTTTACGATCCACTTTAGAATGAAGAATTCATTTTCAAAAACGGTGATATTCAACACTTAGAACAGAACGTCGCTTTGAATAAATAACTTGACACCACGGTGTAACTGAATTACAATAGAAAAAAGGACAATCCACCAAAAGCAGAAACAGCAGTTAGAAAGTTAAGCTTCTATAAGAAAATGCAAAGAAAAAGATGAAGCAGATTGAAGCTGTATGAAACAAGACCAGGCACACATCCCACTGTAACAATCTAAATTCAACAAAGTTAGGATAAGAAAAAGAACAAACTCAGTTATTCATTTTTCCAAATGATTGACTGTTACAAATTTCAAATGATTGGTGAGACAGCATCTCCTTGAGGAAGACATTGCGGTACAATAATAAATGAAATCACATTGATGGGTTCACAATAACAACAATCATTTTACCTTTGTTGTGAGAATTTGAGGATTCTGAAAACAACATTATGAAAATGAAATTATAACCCATTGTCACTTAAGGTTTTTGTTTTGATTTTTGTTCTGTTTCATTAATCATGTTTAAGGTTGCTTATGCCAGTTTAGGTTACCAGCACATCAAGACCTTTATTTATAAATGTTATATTGGATGCAAGAAGTTTAGTACATCATCACGCATCAAGTAATACTGAAGAAATTAAGAAAGGTGTCACGAAAACGATTAGATATACTCATGTGCTAAGTTTGGTTTTTAATTATTACAGGAACAAAAGTGAACAAAGTTGGAGGATAAATATCACAGAGAAACAGAAACACACCTGGGCGTGGGGCCTCTGTCGCTCAGTCCCACTGAACGTGTTCCATCGCTTGAGAGAAGCGAACTTTCTAGCCTCATGGAACTGATAGAGCTCCGTTTCCCGCCTGGTGATGTCTGCCTGGAGTAGCAAGTTGTTCACCTCTTGCAGCAGAAGCTGTCTTTTAATCTGCATGATCTCACGGTTCCGCTCCAGGTGACTTAGCCTTAGGTTGTTCATCTGAACAGATCAAATTGAAAACGACCATTGTCTTTGGTTACTGAGAACAATAAATGATACCTATTTTAAGGGATTATTGGAAATGAAAGTTTAATATTGGCTTCCGTTCAAAGAAGCATTGGTCATATTAAGTGTACACATGTAGAACGTGTCGTTAATTTGTTTATAGGCAATCATCATCATCCAGTTCAGATCTGTGACAGACATCGGCGATCACGGTTCTCCATTCATTCCTCTGCTCGGGTGCTCTTAAAAAAGCTACGTTTCCCTGATCTTTCCCTGTCACCCACTTGTTCAGGTTCCCCAAGCTCTGTGCCTACCTCTGCCTCGCCTGCCCTCAGTCTTGCCAGTGAAAACCAGGTGTTCAAGATCCTTATGTCTATTCAAGTGTCTTAAAAACTGCATTTGTCATTTTCTGATGGTTTTTAACAGTGAGCATCCCACGTGGGCTTCATCAAGCAATACCTCATTTGATTTCTGTAGGCAATAGCCGATATAAATACGATCATATGGCTGTTGCTAATGAAGCGTTTTCGAAAATGAAGCATAATCATTTCTGTCCAGCAAACCTTTAACCCATACTCCATATAAAAGTGGTATTATTTAAAGCTATTGGGGTAGTTTTTTATGGGGTGGGAATGAGGACAAGGCGGCACGGAATTGCATTCACTAGAAAGGCACTTGATTAACGAACATGTGCATAATACATTTAGTTCCCTTTACAAAGTAAACTGTTTTTGGAGTGAAGCTCTAAATATGCCAGGTCCTACATTTGGAAATCACCAAATTATTGGTCGATACTTACGTTGCACGGACGTAAAATAAATTTCAAAACTTTGTATGAATAAAGACTGGTTCTCCCCTCTTTATATACATCAATGCGAATATCACTCACCTGAACTTGCAGTTTCATGGCTTGGCTGTACAATGTCTCGAAGTTGGAGAGCGCCATGGATTTCTGACTTTGTTCCTCTGGAAAATGATCAAGAAAGATATTGAGAAGGGATATAATAATAATATTAGCAATTATAAACCGCTTTTCTCTATTTCCCTTACTCGCTATGTCTCCCTCCTGACTTCTTTCTCTCTGAAAGATACATACATGCAGAGAGTCTCAAAACACCCACAGCCTAACACCTCCTCACACTTTTTTTCTGACCATTAAAGTATCAGTCCACTTCTCCGTCAACGTCTATTATATCCATTTAAGGATCTTTCTACATTTATCAGCTCCTTTATTCATCCGACTTCCCTTCCATGCATAAATAACCTTCAATTCCCTAAACTACAGTTTATCTGTAATTTAGGTCGCTCTCTCTCTCTCTCTCTCTCTCTCTCTCTCTCTCTCTCTCTCTCTCTCTCTCTCTCTCTCTCTCTCCCCCCTCTCTCTCTCATACGATCAGGCGTGTGTGAGTGTGTGTGTGTGTGTGTGTGTGTGTGTGTGTGCGCGTGTGTGTGTGTGCGTGTGTGCGTGTGTGCGTGTGTGTGTATGTGTGTGTGTATGTGTGTGCGTATGTATGTGTGTGTGAGTGTGTGCATGCATGTGTGTGTGTGTGAGTGTGTGTGTGTGAGTGTGTGCATGTATGTGTGTGTGTGTGTGTGTGTGTGTGTGTGTGTGTGTGTGTGTGTGTGTGTGTGTGTGTGTGTGTAAATATATCTCTGCATGTGCGTGAATATCGTGTGTCCCCCCCCCCTCAAATCATACCCACCTGACTGTGTAGCCTGCACAAGCATGCCTCTCATCTGGTCCACCAGCTCCACTAGCTGGGTGTGTACTGTCTCCTCACCCTCTATACTCTGCCACTTACCCACCTGAAAAAAGGGAACGTAGGAGTTTAACACCTCTCAACGATAAGTTGAAGTACAGTTTTAGAAAGAAGCTAACGGAACTTGCAACAACAAAAATAGGTTAAAAAGTGCCGAAGATTAGAAGTGTTACTTGAGAGTAACAAAGAAAAGAAGGAAGAGAAATAAGGACTATACATATTTGATAGGAAAGAAAGAGCAAACCACATCAGAACGCCCGCTAACACATCACTGTCAAAGATAAAAAGCACCTTTAACATTAAACGATGATCTCCATTCGAATCTAGACAAGATGGTGGACAGCCGTGTTAACTCCTACAACAACCCAAGTAATAAAAAAACCGTTGGGTATAAAAGCCAGCGTCATTCATACGGTAGTCCAAGATGACACCAACAAAACTAACAGCGCACCCCATATGAAGGAGATGGGATTAGTTTTCGTCGGATTGAAAAGCAGCCGTAGACATGACAACAATACCTGGAGGTTGGAAAAAGCAAGATGGACAGACATAATTTATTTTTTAAATGAAGGGGGTTTATATTTATATTTTTTCTTTTGGTAAGTGCTTTACGGCGCTCGCAACTGCATAAGGTCATATAAGCGAGAGGGACACATTAAACTTTTTAAGTTGGTAAAAAAAATTTAATTTGGCCCGGGTGGCGGCCGAAGCCTACTCTTATCGATTTTAGGCCACCAAGGGATCTTTAAAGTACGCAATTTGCACACGGGCCCTCGGAGATTTGTTGCCCTTGTCCGAGAAGACTAGGTGTTGATCTTTCCTTCCATAAGATCAGGAGGGTGGCTGAAAGATAGCAGTAGGTAGGACCTAAGGAGTAGTAGTAGAAAGAGTCAGGGGCACAGAGGAGGGGGTAAAGGAGGTGAAGGGGTGGGGCAGAAAGAGGAGACGAAAGCAGACGACAGAACATTGCTAGAGAGCACGAAAGGAGGTGAAAGGAGGCAATTTTAGAGAGGAAAATATTTTGGTCGCTACGCGGATTCGAACCCGGCATCTTTGAAAGAAAGACCTTAACCTCTAGGCCACGAGAGCCCCCGGTGTTTTTAAGCCCCCCCCCCCCCCAACCCCCATTAACATAATTTTTATCAAATAGGATGAAGGCTTCCCACCCTGTCTTCCAAGCCAAGACCAAACGGGAATGACGAGTACAGAACATCCCACAGAAAGACCAAGAAACTCGATAACAATTTCTCCTCACTCGGGAATTAAACTCTGGTTAGCTGCCTACGACAACGAAGTGCCCAACCCCTACAATGCAGACGTCGGTACAGACAGAAATGCTAAATGGAGAGAAAAGAAGTAGAACCTACCAATGACACTTTCCAGCCTTTCTTGTGGAACTGACAGAGGAAGGATGATTCGCATGCCACAGAGAGCAGTTACGAGCCAATTAATGGCACATTAAAATTTAATTCAACGTATAGCACTGGCAACCAGAGACAAGATTTAATTTGATTCTAGGCACAACCAACTTGTACATTAGGAACACCTTCTTTTCTCTAATTTTACGACGCACTAAACTCTTGGTAAGGCGGAGACATTGTGTTGATGGGGGGTGTAAAGGTACCAACATCATAAAAAAATAAAAAATAAAAAGTGGAAATAAAAGCGGGAAAAGGATAGGTATAGGCTTTGATCTTGAAACACTCTTACAGCAGGCTCGGGGTACAAAACCGTATGTTTGTGAAACTTCTGCCTGATCAACAGATAATTTACGAGATTAGAAAACGCAGAATTTTCTAGTCCACCTACAGAAATCATTTCCTATTTCTTTAATTTAAGAAGAGGAGTCTATGATTTTATCCAGTAACGAATCTCTAAAATATACAAAGGAAGAAAGATCTAAAGGAGTCCGCAACTCTATAAAAAATAAAGCAGTATCGTATATTTATATCGCCGGTTTTCGGTATATTCTTAAAATCTCTCAAAGAAAACCCCATATACTCGAAGACAGCTCGAACGTTGAAATCGATCGGCAGGGTGTGTTGAGAGAAAACAGAGTGCATTCGATCGATACGCGTTGACAAGTCGCTGGGATCAAGAGACAAACGAAGAAATTGGACCTCTGGAAAAAAAGGAAAGGGTGTCAGGTCGCTTGGTGATGTTTAAGCAAGCGTGTGGCCAGTGCGCTAGTTGGAAATTAAAAGAGAACAGGGTAAGATTCAGTGCATTTCTTTATGATTTCGAGTAAAGGTTCATATAAACCCTACATTTAATGTATTTCCCTATACTATATATAACAGAGACAGGAGGGAGAGCCTGTTACCCCCCCCCCCCCCCCCCAAACAACCCTTGTTTGGAAAACCTGACTCAATATGGATTCGAGCCAATGCTTTTCCGCATGTAAGTCCCTTGGGACATCATATGAGCTATGATGGCGCCCTTTCATAGTCGATGAATTTCTTACCATTTAACAATCACAAAACTTGACTTTTTGACAGGAGAATAAACAAAAAATCGTCAATACTCAAACCTCTTCGTCACAGAGATGTAAGACAAAGTCAGTGCACATATACAAAGTCAGTGCACATATACAAAGTCAGTGCACATATACAAAGTCAGTGCACATATACAAAGTCAGTGCACATATACAAAGTCAGTGCACATATACAAAGTCAGTGCACATATACAAAGTCAGTGCACATATACAAAGTCAGTGCACATATACAAAGTCAGTGCACATGTACAAAGAAGTTGACAGGCAACACAACATCGCCAGATCTTAGCCCTCCATCCAGGAACACTGCCACACACTCACCCCCCCCCTCCTCATGCTGCACACACAGGCACGGACACACTCACACACATACGCACACACACACACACACACTCACACATACACACACACAAACACACACACACACACGGCCAGATGCACAAGTCACCACAAAAAAGTGATAAGAACAACTTTGAGCATTTATATATTTCACAACTGCACTCCTGATGGACAGAAAGATTCTCACAATCATCTTAATGTCCTCCTCAGCTCCCTTCGACCTTCCACTAACGCAAAATTTTTTGAAAAAAAATCCAGAAAGGTAAATAACCAGGAAAATACCATCTTAAACAGTAACACACTACACATGAAACTAAGAAAGAAAACAAATCAAATTAAACATCAAATTATATAGTTACGAAATTTTATCAACGCTGAAGCGAACCACCTTTCTTAAACTGTGTTAAGATTTCTATACCAACCAGCAGGTAAGTTTTAATTTTAGTAAGTGTTTTACGGCACTTGCAACACAATAAGGTCATATAAGTGTCGAAGATTAGAGGTGTTTCAAGAGAGTAACAAACACAAAAAAGAAGGAGGGGAAATGAAGACGATAGATGTTTGATAGGAAAGAAGGAGCAAACCACACCAGAGCACCCGCCAACCACCCACTAGCAGGTAAGAAAAACGAGAAAGAAGGGCAGCCTTTTCTTATCATGACTTTTATGTTTAAAATTTTTAAACTTTGCCCACTGACAAACCTCGGCAGAAAACCCCCATTAACATAATTTTTATCAAATAGGATGAAGGCTTCCCACCCTGTCTTCCAAGCCAAGACCAAACGGGAATGACGAGTACAGAACATCCCACAGAAAGACCAAGAAACTCGATAACAATTTCTCCTCACTCGGGAATTAAACTCTGGTTAGCTGCCTACGACAACGAAGTGCCCAACCCCTACAATGCAGACGTCGGTACAGACAGAAATGCTAAATGGAGAGAAAAGAAGTAGAACCTACCAATGACACTTTCCAGCCTTTCTTGTGGAACTGACAGGGGAAGGATGATTCGCATGCCACAGAGAGCAGTTACGAGCCAATTAATGGCACATTAAAATTTAATTCAACGTATAGCACTGGCAACCAGAGACAAGATTTAATTTGATTCTAGGCACAACCAACTTGTACATTAGGAACACCTTCTTTTCTCTAATTTTACGACGCACTAAACTCTTGGTAAGGCGGAGACATTGTGTTGATGGGGGGTGTAAAGGTACCAACATCATAAAAAAATAAAAAATAAAAAGTGGAAATAAAAGCGGGAAAAGGATAGGTATAGGCTTTGATCTTGAAACACTCTTACAGCAGGCTCGGGGTACAAAACCGTATGTTTGTGAAACTTCTGCCTGATCAACAGATAATTTACGAGATTAGAAAACGCAGAATTTTCTAGTCCACCTACAGAAATCATTTCCTATTTCTTTAATTTAAGAAGAGGAGTCTATGATTTTATCCAGTAACGAATCTCTAAAATATACAAAGGAAGAAAGATCTAAAGGAGTCCGCAACTCTATAAAAAATAAAGCAGTATCGTATATTTATATCGCCGGTTTTCGGTATATTCTTAAAATCTCTCAAAGAAAACCCCATATACTCGAAGACAGCTCGAACGTTGAAATCGATCGGCAGGGTGTGTTGAGAGAAAACAGAGTGCATTCGATCGATACGCGTTGACAAGTCGCTGGGATCAAGAGACAAACGAAGAAATTGGACCTCTGGAAAAAAAGGAAAGGGTGTCAGGTCGCTTGGTGATGTTTAAGCAAGCGTGTGGCCAGTGCGCTAGTTGGAAATTAAAAGAGAACAGGGTAAGATTCAGTGCATTTCTTTATGATTTCGAGTAAAGGTTCATATAAACCCTACATTTAATGTATTTCCCTATACTATATATAACAGAGACAGGAGGGAGAGCCTGTTACCCCCCCCCCCCCCCCCCAAACAACCCTTGTTTGGAAAACCTGACTCAATATGGATTCGAGCCAATGCTTTTCCGCATGTAAGTCCCTTGGGACATCATATGAGCTATGATGGCGCCCTTTCATAGTCGATGAATTTCTTACCATTTAACAATCACAAAACTTGACTTTTTGACAGGAGAATAAACAAAAAATCGTCAATACTCAAACCTCTTCGTCACAGAGATGTAAGACAAAGTCAGTGCACATATACAAAGTCAGTGCACATATACAAAGTCAGTGCACATATACAAAGTCAGTGCACATATACAAAGTCAGTGCACATATACAAAGTCAGTGCACATATACAAAGTCAGTGCACATATACAAAGTCAGTGCACATATACAAAGTCAGTGCACATATACAAAGTCAGTGCACATGTACAAAGAAGTTGACAGGCAACACAACATCGCCAGATCTTAGCCCTCCATCCAGGAACACTGCCACACACTCACCCCCCCCCCTCCTCATGCTGCACACACAGGCACGGACACACTCACACACATACGCACACACACACACACACACTCACACATACACACACACAAACACACACACACACACGGCCAGATGCACAAGTCACCACAAAAAAGTGATAAGAACAACTTTGAGCATTTATATATTTCACAACTGCACTCCTGATGGACAGAAAGATTCTCACAATCATCTTAATGTCCTCCTCAGCTCCCTTCGACCTTCCACTAACGCAAAATTTTTTGAAAAAAAATCCAGAAAGGTAAATAACCAGGAAAATACCATCTTAAACAGTAACACACTACACATGAAACTAAGAAAGAAAACAAATCAAATTAAACATCAAATTATATAGTTACGAAATTTTATCAACGCTGAAGCGAACCACCTTTCTTAAACTGTGTTAAGATTTCTATACCAACCAGCAGGTAAGTTTTAATTTTAGTAAGTGTTTTACGGCACTTGCAACACAATAAGGTCATATAAGTGTCGAAGATTAGAGGTGTTTCAAGAGAGTAACAAACACAAAAAAGAAGGAGGGGAAATGAAGACGATAGATGTTTGATAGGAAAGAAGGAGCAAACCACACCAGAGCACCCGCCAACCACCCACTAGCAGGTAAGAAAAACGAGAAAGAAGGGCAGCCTTTTCTTATCATGACTTTTATGTTTAAAATTTTTAAACTTTGCCCACTGACAAACCTCGGCAGAAAACAACACCCCCCCCCGAAAAAACCCACAACCCAAACAACCAAACAAAACAAAACATAACAAAACAAAACAAAAAATCAAACGAACCAGCCGGCCAGCCATCCAACCAACCAACCAACCAACCTACCAACCAAACAACCAAACAAACAAACAAACAAACAAACAAACAAACAAACAGGAGCAAGTGTAACCACACAACACCCTGCATGACTTACGGCAGCACTCTCCATGGACATAGCCAGTCTCTCTCCGAAGTTCTCCATTAGCTTGATCTTCTCCTCCAGTTCTCCCATGGTGCTCTCCAACTCCCCGACCTCCAGCTTCACCGGGCCGGTGAACGCGCCCTGGGCCAGCTCGCGGTGGAAACGGGCTATACAAGAGGAACGAGGAAAAACACGGAGAAGGTTGAAGAAATGGTGAAATGGTAGATATTTAAAGACTCTATCAACACCACTAGGTTATTTAGGAGGCCTGGAGCTCCGAGTTCAAAGTCCATCTTCGAAAAAACCGAGCCAAATGGGATATTCGTGTAAAAGGCCTTTTCCAAGAAGGAAACAACGCCGGACCGAGCTGAGGCTCAAAATCCCGAACCCGCAATCTCACGATTAAGTGACAAAAGCATTTTAAAAGGCATACATAAATATTACAGGTATATTATGTAAGACTATTATAGTTATAGGCACAACAAGTAATCACTTTAACTCACCCATTTCTGTAGCATGCTCCTCTCTGACCTTGGCCAGCTTCTCGTTGACCCTGGTGACCTCTTCCTGCACGGCAGCGTACTCCATCTCCTTCTTCTGAAGCTCCTCTAACAGCTGAGTGTTGGCGCGTTCCAGGCTGGGGACATGCGCGGATGGGGGATGATTACAGAATCATAGTATTTGGACAAACTGAGGGATTGGCATGGAACGGGAGGATCACAAAATCGTAGCATGAGGACTAGTTCTTTTTTAATTCGCTAATAAGAGAAAAACACAGAGCAAAACTACCTGAACAAGGAAAAATTTGTCTCGAATTAAACAAGAAGTTTGATCAGCCATATATTATCTCTCAGTTTGATTTTGTTGGGACGAGTCAAAAAGTTAAATAAAACTTGTTTCATTAACATAATGAAAGGAGTCATCGTCATTGTTGTCGTTGTCGTCATCCTGTTCCTCCTCCTGCTCCCGTCTTCTAATTCTCTCACTAATGCAACCTATATTATCATTATCATTATCACTATCAGTATCGTTATCATTATCCTTATCATTGTTATTATTATCATTATCATTACCATTATCATTATTATTATTATTATTGACTCGAGGATGACAATTTACAAGAAACTAAAACTACACCACATGCATCCGGGAACAATTTCCTTCTAATGAACACGCGAACAATTTCTGAACGCAAGTTGACAGCCGGATTTACATCAGTCCTAACATATTTTCACTTTTTGCCTCTCAGCGTCATGGTTCTAAGGTGGGGGGGGGGGGGTGATTTTGAGTAAAGAATAAGACATACAATTAACAGCCATGTAATGCCTTTCAAATAAATAGCAAAGCCGACAGTGAAAAAAAAGATTGGAAAGACAATCCACGGCACCACCCTGTATAATCACCCCCTTTTTGGGACTTCAAACTTTTCTTGTAAAAACAATATTCATCACCGGTCAGATTTTCAACACCGTCGTCAGCTTCAAAGTGCAAACACGGACGTTTCTCGAAAGGTCAAACCTTTAATCGCACTGTTTGTTTAGTTTGATTTGCCAAGCGTCACGTTATGCTGAATAATCAGAAACTTAATTACCGCCAGAGAACTGAGAAACTTAATTACCGTCAGAGAACTGAGGAACTTAATTACCGTGAGAGAACTAACAAAAAATAATCTAAATCCAAGAACTTGGAAATCTATTTTGGACTTTCAAAGAAAACTTCATAAAAATCCGTTATGAAGAAAAAAGGACAATTTCTAAGGGCCCTTTTTTATGCATGAAATATAAAACCAATATCATTCTGCATATAACAAATAAAAGAAAAGAAAAGAAAGAAAGAATTTAGTATAAATCTCAGAATTTATAGTCCATATATGCATTTACACAAGAGATAGATAATCCCACACGTGTTAAAAAGGTTTGATTTCCGAGACGCTAAAATGGTTTGAAATAATTTAATTTTTTGAGCTAACAGTCATTTCACGCATTGAATTGCTAGAAAGGAGCATAAATCCAGAGGGAATATCACAGCTCGGGGATTTCAAGGGCCAAGAATTTATGGTGAATGTTCACGTTTGCCAGTGGCAAAAAACTGACGGGTTTTCACCCAATGTAGAAACGCCACTGCCTTTCACCTCTTTCTAAAAAAAAAAAATTATTAACACTCAGCTACACGGTGATAGCGAAGGTGAAACATTTTTAAAGATGACAATGACGATGACGGCAATAACGAAACGGCAATAAACAACAACAGCAGCAACAACAACAAGAAGATAACAACATAAACAAGAACCATAACAACAACAACAAGAACAACTGTAGAGGTCACATCTTCATTAACAGTAATATTAATATTGTGTTACAGACAGAGGAACCGAGAAGTATTAAGAAAGAAGAGCTTGCGTATGTGTGTGTTTGTTTGTTTGTGTGTGTGTGTGTGTGTGTGTGTGTGTGTGTGTGTGTGTGTGTGTGTGTGTGTGTGTGTTTGTCTCTCTATCTCTTTCTCTCTCTCTCTCTCTCTCTCTCTCTCTCTCTCTCTATATATATATATATATATATATATATATATATATATATATATATGAGAGAGAGTGTGTGTATTTTAGCGTGTGTGTGTGTGTGTGTGTGTGTGTGTGTGTGTGTGTGTGTGTGTGTGTGTGTGTGTTTGTGTGTGTGTGTGTGAGTGTGTGTACGCACGAGACGTAGACGGTGGAAAGGGGACTGTTATAATCAATTAATAATAATCGACCTGGCTGCCAGCATATTTCTCACGTTATCGGCATGGGAACAGAATCAGACGCTGCCACAGTTATCTACGGCTTCAGTAAATCATCGAAGCGCCCGGGGGCTACTGATTTACTCCAGACCTCGACACATCAAGGGCTGCCGTGCCGGGTGAGCGGTGGGCGGGTGGGAGGGGGGGTGGGACAATCAAGTGGACAGCAGATGGTCTTGGCGCCATCAGACCCAGTGAATATACGGCAGAGGTGACGTGGATGTAGGACAGGCCTGCCTCTTTTTTTTTGCTGTCTAACCGAACGTGTCTGTCGCTTCTTTTTGTTTGTCTGTCTGTTTAATAGTATGTTCATTTGCTTTTCGTCTTGTTGTTCAACACCTAAATCTGATGCTGAACAGTAGGACAAACGGTTCGTTACTATGCTTTAATGTTTATTGTTACTTATAACTTATAAATTCAAGTCTGATATTTAAAAAAAAAGAAAAAAGCTCATATATTCTGCACGCACTCAAGGTGAACAAAGGAACAATCTTATACGTCCGCAATCTTCGAAAGATACAATCGCATCTCTGGGCATTTATTTCTTCTTTTGGTATCTTTAGGAATGGGTTCAATTTCCCCGTGAACACACTGAGGCTTTTCAAAATTCGAGAGTTCCGATTTGACTTCCATAACCAATAGGACCTAGTGAAGTGAGTTTATAACGATGCAATCTATTCGAATAACTAAGGTTTTAAAAGGCCCTTTTAGAATTCAAACCAGAATCGATCGCACTGCAGTTCAGTACGGCACGTCTCTTTAATTAAAAACAAACAACAGTAGACCTATGTATTTTACACCCGTATTGACACAATTTTATTTAGATCATATCGAAAGTGGGCTACTTCCCTATTTGTCAAGGTCAACCCAGCCTGAGAAGGGTACAACGTCTGAGAAGGGTACAACGTCCCAGCAGAAAGAAAGAAACTCTCAATGAAAATTTTAACCCACATGGGACTCGAATACACGCCTTCTACATGCGAGGGCGAAGTGCCTAACCGCTACACCCCAGACGCCGATAATTTCTTCGATCGATAGGTTAACTAGCATGAATATCTGCTGAGCACTCTGTCTAATGCTCTCCTTGCCGAACCCTCGAGGTCAGAGGGTACACGTCAGAAGTTTATTTTCCCTCAGCCGTTTCCTGCGGTCACAGCGAGAGGTCAAAGTGACCGGCCCAACACAAGGGACACAATCTACCATCTTCCATGGAATGTCACTTCTAATCAACCATCTCGTTTGTCTGAGCTTATCTCTTCCACTTGGATGCTCACTGGCTGGAAGCACTGTTAAATGCTACTACTGTGCCTTAATTCATAGCCATATAAAGGTGAAGCCGAAACAGCAGATTAAAAAATGAATAAACTGTTTTCAGTTCGTATAAAAAATCTCCCAATCAAAGTTGTAAAAGGAAAGGCGAAAGAAAGAATGTTAAGAAGAGATTTGAGTAATCCCGGTTTGCCATGACAGTGGACAAGTCTCCTTTGAAGGAAATAAAATCAGCAAATAATACACTCCACGCCAAAGCATTCAAAGAAAATTAAGAACATTTCCGAATATTGTTTGATTCCCATTGTATTGAGAATCTTAGAAAAAGGATTTCCCTTTCGATTAAAAAGTGTCATGCCTGTGTCGTAAAGAAAAATCCTTGCTTAAAAACAAAGACAGACAGACAGACAGACAGACAGACAGACAGACAGACAGACAGACAGACAGACAGACAGACAGACAGACAGACAGACAGACAGACAGACAGACAGACAGATAGACAGGAAAGAGAAAGAGAGAAAGAGGAAGAGAGAGAGCCACATACAGAGAGAGAGAGAGAGAGAGAGAGAGAGAGAGAGAGAGAGAGAGAGAGAGAGAGAGAGAGAGAGAGAGAGAGAGAGAGAGAGACGGACAAAACAGAGAAAGAGGTAGAGACAGAGGAAAGGATAGAGATATACAGAGAGGAAGATAGATAGATTGAAAGAGAGAGAGAGAGAGAGAGAGAGAGAGAGAGAGAGAGAGAGAGAGAGAGAGATAGTGAGTGAGATAGTGAGTGAGAGAGTGAGTGAGAGAGAGGGGGAGAGAGAGGGGAGGGGAGAGAGAGAGGGGGAGAGAGAGAGGGAGAGAGAGAGAGAGAAAGAAAGAGAGAGAGAGAGAGAGAGAGAGAGAGAGAGAGAGAGAGAGAGAGAGAGAGAGCAAATGACATGTCTGGAGCCGGGACATATAAATGCGATGTTATGGTCCCCCCACCCCTCCCAGTAATAGCATCTCTTTCAACATTTCTCGTCTTCTTCTTGTGACTAACCGCCTATCTTGTAATGTCCAAACCCCACGCCCTCACCTTTTCCGGGTTGGGTGAAATGCAATCACACTCGCGACACACGGGAGTACTTTTTAAAATAACTACTCGTACTTTACTTTTTGGGGGAATCGATTTCATGTTTTCTGCATGCCAGACAAAAGGGAAAAATAAACAATAAACATTGCACCACGATACTGTCGTTTCGTATTTCTCGTTTGGGAAAGAAAGTCACATTTGACCCTATGTCAGTATTTCTTTCGCAAACAAACAAACAAAACTAAAATAACTTCTCTTGAAGTAGAAAAGCTATTTTACGGTTGAGAAAAATCTAGACACTTTTGCAGTTGTCCTCTGAAATTAGCAGTTGATCACTTTTGTTTGCACGAGTATGTTTAGGTATGTGTGTAGATGTGTTTATGTTTGTGTGTGTATGTCTCTCTATTTGAGTGTGTTAGTTTGTGAGTGTTTGTGTGTGTATATGTGTGTGTGTGCGCGTATGTGTGTGTGTGTTAATTTTAGGAGCCCACTTCATTTTTACAGCAAATCTCACCGTAACGTTTCAAAAACCAAGAGAACCAAGAAAATGGCCTAAAAACTCCAGTGACAAATCATGGGATACGATCTGAGAGGAGAGATTTTAATTAAATCGCATCCATCTCGTTTTTTCCCCCCCAAAAGTGCTTATTTTGCGCAAAATTTTCCTGCGAGTGCAAACTCTCTAACACAACATTTTAAAGTGATGCATGCCCTTCCCCACACCCCCCGCTTGCAAACATCCAGCAACCTGCAAGTTCGGTGATAAAGAGAACAAAAATTCTTTTTCCATATCCATATTATCCCGCCCACTTGGATCCCTGTGCCAACTTCCCAACATGAACATTCCTCCCAGGCGCTCGTTTCTACTTTTTCTTTTCTACTTTGTTTTTACCTACAGGAAAAAAGGCGTAAGGTGCAACGGGTGCAGGCTCAACAGTTTAAAAAATCTTCAAAGTCCGGGGTTTCCTCTCGTGTGCCTAATCAACCGTGCTTCGTGGAGGTGAGTCCTGATGTGTTTCAACTTACGAACGTCTTGGCACCATCCCAAAGGGAGGCGAAGCCTGTCTGTCTATCGTCTAGAGCAGTGTGACCACATTTCTTTCGCTCTTGAGACGTCTAGACATAGATATTGTCAATCGAGGAAAGGGGGTTGGCGAGGAGCGGGATGGAAGAGGAAGGAGCTCCTCGAAATCAGTGGTCGGGAGATTGATGATAGGCAATTGAATGGCAGTTAATTCTTCCGTTGCTTTTGTTTGGCGATTTCGTTAGGGTTATCGATGCCTTTGTTCAATTTCCATGCTAATGCAATAGACTGTTGTTGTTGTTGTTGTTGTTGTTGTTGTTGTTGTTGTTGTTGTTGTTGTTCTCCTCCTCCTCCTCCTTCTCCTCCTCCTCCTCCTCCTTCTCCTTCTCCTTCTCCTTCTCCTTCTCCTTCTTCTTCTTCTTCTTCTTCTTCTTCTTCTTCTTCTTCTTCTTCTTCTTCTTAACCAAATGATTTAAATCTAAAATAAGCACATCCACTCACTTCCACGTGTACACGCACACACTCACATACACACCCACACATGCACACAGGCTCACAGACACCTACATAAGCGAGTACAGACTAACAAACACATGCATGCACGCAGACAAATACATGAATGAACAAATACCCACTCATTCAGATTCACAAACATACTTATCATATAATAATAAATAGCATTTTTTGTGCCTATCCCCACTGAAGAGCACTGTCAATGCGCTTTACACTGTATTATTACCACAGCAGACCCAAAAACACTCAGAAACATTATCAATTTCCTGGAAAGCAGACAGTGCAAGCAGCTGACTAAGAACTCAAACACTAACAATCTGACAAGATCTTTCCTGTCTATAGCCGGATAATAGAGCTGGGCGAAGAATCGAGTCCGGAACCGATTCCCAAGATTAATACTATGGAAGAAAAGTTCCGACTTCGTTTTACGAAAACCAACGGTTACCAATAATTTTAATCATTTAAATCCTCTTTTTTCGAATTTATTAAAACCCCCCCCCAAAAAAAAACCAAACAAGTTGAGGCTTTGTAGTGTTCCGAAATAAAGTTTATTCTAAATCTTGAAGATGTCCGGAGCCATTTAGGTAACCATTGAAAGAAGTCATATCATTAGAAAGTAAGTAATTGGATTCGGAGTCGATTCCTACGATTCCTAGCCTTCAATAATTGGGAACCTTGCAGCCCAGCACTACCGGATAACCATTTCGACCTGGGCGCAGTGAGGGAATTCATGTAAAATGTCTTTTCCAAGGACAGAACGTCCGTCAAGCAAACATTTTATTTTACTTTACATAGCTATTCTCATCTCTAGCACCGAACCGCGGCCACTCTTCGTTTTTACCTCTCTCAACTTCTTCGACCCCCCCCCCTCCCTCAACAAAAACGTACTGGTTTAACTTCCTTGTGACACTGCAAGATTTAAGGTTTTTAAAACTCAGAATTTAACGTCCATCTCCGATAGAAGTAAGCCAAATGAGAAAACTCACGCACAGCGCCTTTCCCAAGGACACAAAGGACTGAGCAGAACCTCAAACTTTTAAACTCGCATTCTCACGATTATAAGTCTGGTAGCCTAACTACACGACAACAGACGCCCCCCCCCCCTAAAGTTCTTCTCCAGTACTTACTTACTTTTATCCCTTAGTCTTAGATGACCGTTGGGGCACACAGGATGATTGGGCAACCACTTTTCTTCATCCTTCTCTATTTTCAGCCTGTCGAAGGGTTTCACTCGACTTTAAACCTGTCCATTCTGTTATGTTGTCTTTCCATCTCTTTTTCTGTCTGCCCACCCCCCCCTGTACAGCGCCCTGTACGATCATCCCTGCAAGTCCTGTTGATCGTGTTATGCGCCCATACCATATCAACTTGCGTTGTTTTTTGTTGTTTTGTTTTTTACAGTGGTGAAAGATCTTCATACGGCTCAACGGCCTGCCTGATTTCGCCCCTCACTTCCTCATTTGTAACTTGATCTCTGTAGGAGATGTCCAATTACAAGTACTAGCAAAGGATCAAAATCAGTTATAAATTATGACTGAAAAACTTCATCGTTCGCCCCCCCCCCCGCCTCCCCCGACCACGCCTATAATATAAGGAACATGGACTCCTCATCTCCTTATTAGTGCAACGCTCAATAGTACTCAACCAGGGCCATAACCAAACAGCCTCAGGTTGTTTACAGGCAAACATTTCCTTAATTGAAAGGCCTCTTTGTACTAATGACGTTAGACTGATAATGCGCTTAGAACCAAGCAGTGGCTTTCTCTTCTTTCTGTTTCACTTCCAATGGGAGACCTTGAACATAGAGTATGTCGTGCGAGATACAATCTCTAACCTGTGTCAGAGGGAAATTGTCTTTGCTTTAATTATGGTCCTGATAACTTCCAACAGTTGACCACTCGAAGGGTTGTTATTCTAAGTGAGCAAACACGTCTATTGTAGTAGTAGCGGTGGTGGTGGTATTTTGTTGTACGTGTTTTCACACTCCAACAACAAAATTTAGATCATTTGGGAGGCAAGCTTCCGACCCTGCCTGCTAGGGCCACCCGGGCTGAGAGCAGGCAGCATAAAGACGGACATACTCCATCAAAAATTTTCTTCACTCGAAAATCGAACTTGGGTCTCCTGAGTGCGACAGTGAAGCGCCTAACAGCTGTCCAACAGACACCAGTTGTACTGGAACAATGATGATGATGATGATGATGATGATGATGATGATGATGATGATGATGATGATGATGATGACGACGATGATGATGACAACGGTGATGATGATGATGATGATCTTTCAGATCACATAAATAGCGATCTTTCAGATCACATAAATAGCCTGTTGTTTCTTGTTCCATCCACTTCCAAGACTTTTGTCTATATCATTTAGCACGAACGGTGATGATGACGTGACAAAGACGATGACAGTGACAATGACTATATCATAGCCTTATTCAAAATCCCACTCTCTACCGTTCACCTTTCAGAAATCGCACTGCATTACGTGCAAACTAAGCATTAAAAAATTATAGTTACTCTGTAGTTGGCTATTATATTGATAACCTCTCCAACAGGACACGATTTGCCAATTATGGGCGCATGATGGATTGTGATTGCTCGTGCCTCGTAGCACTAGAATATGGCGGTTTCTTTCTATTGGTTCAAGGGTTGACGTGAGTGGGTTCAAAGTCAAAGCATTCTATCTACGGCGGTATTATTATTTCATTTAGAGGCATAGAACCTTTTGACTTGGGCCTCTCATAATTATCACGACAGCCTCCCCTACCCCTGAAACATTGCAGTTAGCGGAAGTATTTAACACACAATGACCGACGTGCAGTTAAGGTTTTCTTCATGATGGTGTGATACATGCAAGCCAAACGAGGGAGCTGTCCCGATTGGCTCTACAATAATAATAATTATTTATCGGTAGAAGGTGGAATAACACTACAACAGCAGATTCGATTGGATCTACGGTATGCGTGGCTGGAAACTGAGATGGCAAAACAATAGCAGCTGTGGAGCACAACACAACGCATATTAACAGAAAGGAGCACATGACTACAACAACAGCTGTGATTGGTCCTACGGTACGTAATGGCTGGAACTCAGGACACTCTACAACAGAGTCAAACAAACTACACAGAAACGTGCGGCGAAGTTATATCATCATATATCCCATTAGCGCAATGTATGTATTCTACATTAATTATGCTAGAGGTTACATTTATTGTAATATTGGCTGATTGAGACTGGTCAGCCATCTAGCCTATTCATATTAAGTTCAAAATATAGGATCTATTCCTGGGAAAGTAACAGTCTCTAAAACTAACACCAATGGAAAGTGTCACTCACCTCGCATTGCTTCTGTGTGAAGTGACAGAAAAGAATGCAGAGAAATAGAAAGTCGGATAGGATGTATTGAGTGACCAGAATGATTTCATAGACGCGAAGTATAGTCAAGAAGTAGAGCCACATTAACATGGCCATGGCGAAAACTTGATAAAATACATTTCATGCTAAACAATACTCGCGTATTAGGAACACAATAAAACATACATGGTACACACACGCACGCGCAGCACGCATACACCTGCATTCGGGTGACTACATGCACGAATGTAGCTTTTTATATAAAGCCAAAAAAGCACCCACACATGTATAAACATGAACACATACACACACTCACGCACATACACACACATACACACACACAAACACACATACACACACACTCACACACACACCCATGCACACACAATCAAATGCATAATATCGTCAGCGGTATTCCACAATCGCTCAAACAATTTGCTGTTTTTTCCAAACAGGGTCAAGATCCAAGTAAAGTCATCAAGAAGCATCTTACAACATAATTTAAGTGATTCATTTTACTTCCTAGTTTTTATCTGAAAAAATGTCCTACTCACGTCGAGAGTCTGATTTGGGGGCTCTGTTTATCTGTAATTTTCTCAAAACTTTAAAAACCCAACTTAGACGCATATGGGCTGGCACTGACGATATGAACATCCTCACACACAAAATTCCGGCCCTACTACTGACCTGGCGATGTTTGATTTTGTCAGGCATTCCTCCGTCATGCTCGTGCACGTGTCCTCCTCATCTCCTATACTGACTTCAGACTCCTTCTCAACCGGGGAGCGCTCATCCGGAGAATCCCAATAAGGGCTCAAGCTCAAGGGAGGGGGCGGACCCGATTTGGCCACACCCCCTTCAGCCCCGCCCTCGAAAGGGGCAGGGTCCGACTTGGACAGTGGTTCTAACTGCTGGCCTGCTGGATAAAAAGAAAGGGACGTGTTTTCACTGGGTGTTATCATTCACATTTAAATGAGATACCTTGGGGAGGATTTTCTGTTGATGCCTTTCAGTCATTGAATCTCTGCTGGAGTACCTGTGCTGCCCGATCATTTTGCTCTCAAGACTTCATTAGACAAGAAAGCAATTCTGAGGCGGCGTTTTTAAAAGGTACATGTTATACTCACCCCGTTCATCCTCCCGATCTAAAATATTATACAACCCTCCTCATTCTCTCTCTCTCTCTCTCTCTCTCTCTCTCTCTCTCTCTCTCACACACACACACACACACACACACACACACACACACACACACACACACACACACACACACACACACACACACACACACACTCACAAACACCCATTTCTTTCTTTCTCTTCGTTAGTTTAAACAAAGAGAAGTATAACGACACATTAAAGGTCATTAAGTGCTATGGCAAAAGCAGGACAGGCAGACAGAAACAAAAGAGGGAAAAAGACGTAGGACATACCTGTGGAACCCGCTCCAATCACCTGCTCAGAAAGACAGACAGACAGGCAGATAAACAGACACACTTTTTCTCTACACATCAAACTCGACTCACTTTGTCTTAGGTGTTGCATGCTCAACTTCTGGGCCTCCAGGTAGATAGAATTGCTGACGTCATGAGATAGGCCTTTTCTCAGTTCCCACTCGTGCAGCTTTCTGGCAAAGTCAGCAGTCACCTTATATTCTGACAACAGAGATGAGGATAAAGCATGATGTGAAAAATGCTCACAATTGCTGCTTTTAGGAATGCCAGACAGAAGAGATTATAACTTCTTAATTAGATAATGCACCTGCACTATGAAATACAGGAATCAGGGAGAAGACATGTGTATAATGCATCTATTCGCAGCTGCGACTATACTTCATAACATGAGGTAAAAAAGATGTATAAAATGGCACAGATCTTTAACAAATGAAAGGTAAAGCAATTCTTTTTTAATCAGACTCTCCGACAGTTCGTCTAAATGAATATCACTCCTATACGTGCGTAGCAAGCTTTTAGATTTGATAGTTTTGGTGTTTTTTTTATTTGCACCCCGTCAACTCTCTCCCCCCCCCCTCTCTCTCTCTCTCTCTCTCTCTCTCTCTCTCTCTCTCTCTCTCTCTCTCTCTCTCTCTCTCTCTCTCGCTCTCTCTCTCTCTCTCGCTCTCTCTCTCTCTCCCTCTCTCAAATATGTGGGACTGGCGTACTCTCCATTCACACTCTCTCTTTCCTTTCTTTCACAGAACAGCCCCCCCCCACCCCCTACTAATCTTTTTACAAATGTTTAAAATTAAATACCTACAAAAACATACCCAAAGTCATTGGAAGGACAGGCAAACAATTTATACATAGCGAAGCAAAACAACGAGACTAGAAACAAGAACAAGTCCTAAAGAAAATCAACAATCAGATAGACAGCTAGACAGACAGGTATAAAGACAGATATTCACGCAGGTAGGCACACAGAGAGTCACACATACAGACAGTCAAAAAGAAGGACAACGCACAAACAGACAATCACAGAGACAGACAACACACAGACAGACAGTGGTCTCACCGGCCAGAGGGCTGAGCACCGGGTTCCTAAGTCCAGCAGAGTCCACCTCGGCCTGGCTGAGGCGTCCCTTGAGCTTCTCAAGCTTGGCTTCCCTCTCCAACGCTCGCAGTCGCTCCTTCTCGATACGAAGCTTCTCCTTCTCCAGTTTTACTTGCTCCCTTTCTACCTATTGGCACAGAGGAAAAAACCGCATCTAATTGTTTTGTTTGTTTGTTCCGTTGTATTATTTTTAAAAAACATAATTTGGAAGAGGGGGCGAAGCAGTGTTTGCTAAATTATACACCTTTCTAGGTCATTTCGAAGCTAAGTTATAAACTGTGTGGTCTCGAGGATCTCATGCCTTGGTATGCATTTATCGCCCCTTTTAATACTTTAAGGTTATGTAAAACCGCATCGCCCCCTCCCCTTTAATTAGACAAAAAAATAAGCAACAAACAGCCCTATGTCTAATGCACTGGTCACTTAAAGGAACCACAACAGTCACCACGCTCACTTTTTGTTTGTCTCGCTCCCTCTGCCTCTCCAATTTCTCCTTTTCTTTGTCTTCTCTGGAACGTTTGCTCTTCTGTCGCTCCTCTTTCCTTCCTTTGCTGCCCTTTCTCTCCATGTCTGGGCTGGGTTCTCTCTGGGCCCCGGGACTGCTCTTGTACTTGAGTCGCTCCCATTCCTAAAAGAACACGATGGCAAAGTTTGGTAGATCAAGGAGCGGCATGACCTTGAGAAGAATGTTTTGGTGTGTTGTATTTCGATATGGCTAGGTATGGTATGGTTTGCTATAGGGTTTAGTGTGACGAATAGGTATGATTTTTTACGGAACAGTTCGGAATAGTTTGATTTGACAAGATATGGAAAAGCATAGCTTTGACGAGTATGGTATATAGCATGGTATAGTATAATTTGGTATGGTTCGTATGGTACTGTAAAGTTTGGTTTACGGTATGGCATGGCCGGGCATGGCATTTTCTAGCTGACAAGGTAAAGAGTAATTCGATGACATTTAATGTGCTGTGCTTTGATATAGTATAGGACACGGTATCGTAACGTGTGCCCGTGTTTACGCGTATTTTAGAGGAAGAGAAGAGGGTGGAGGGGGGGGGGGAGGTGGAAGAGAGAGAGAGAGAGAGAGAGAGAGAGAGAGAGAGAGCACCATAGAAAGAAAGAAGAAGAGTGGTGAAGAAAGCACTATTGTCAAAAATGACTTTTGAAAACCATCGATAACTGAAAACACAAGCATCTAAATCGTCAAGGTGTCACCCACCTGCATCTTCCTAGAAAAACTGTCTGTCATTCTCCTCTGTATCTCTTCCACCTTGATGGAAGGAGCGCCCAGGACCTCCATTGACGTATGGGACTCTTCTGGGGTCTCCGATGTACTGTCGGGCACTGTGAGAGAAAAAAAACAAAGAGCACATGAGGGTAGTTAATGGAGTGCTTCAAAGTTTACCTATGAAGACAGTCGTCTGATTTGCTTTAATAGAAGCACACCAACATTATAGTGGTCATTTTGTGCAGGAGGCAACAGGAGAAAAAAAACGTAAGACCTAGCACTGGAACGCAAAAACCACCCGTTATTAATAGCACAATTATATGATGAAACACTCAAAGACACAAATAAACTTACACGCCATGACATACTTCCAGAACAAACAGACAGGGACAGACACAAGGACAGACAGACAGGCAAATACACAATTTAATGGGAAGGCAGACACCCATATCGATGCGCGTGTATGTGTGAATGTGTGTATGTGTGTATGTGTGTGAGTGTGTGTTTGTGTGTTTTTGTGTGTATGAGTGTGTATGAGTGTGTATGAGTGTGTATGAGTGGGTATGAGTGTGTATGTGTGTGTATGAGTGTAAGTGTATGTGTATATGTGTGTATGTGTGTGTATGATTGTGTATGAGTGCGTA